TAAATTATTCACCTTTTATTTATAAGTGTCCTCTTATTTTTTTGCCGACACTCGAGAAATTTTGTACTTTCCTTCCTTTTTTGAATAAAAATGTATTTATTTAAAGGTCAGCAATTTTTCAAAAAAAATTCCTTTTCTTTGCCAAATGTCGCAACATTTCCCTAATTTTTGCATTTTTTCTGTATTATTATTTTTAGGATAGGGTTAAGGGGGCAGTTTTATAAAATTGTCAAAAATAGCCCAAATTGCCCCAGTAAAGCTGGGAGGTGTGAATATATTTTTTTAATTGAATTATGGCACAAAACACAAAGTAACGCTTTCGTTAAATTCAAATTTAACACGCCTACACATCATTTTTCTTAGGGCAATATCTCAGGGCAATATTAATCAAGTCAGTCTAGATTGTTTTTTCGGCGCAGTAAGAAAAGGCGTGGGGCAGTGAACAATGGAGGGGTATAAGGGTATAAGTACCCCATGAAATTTTTTCTGAATTTTCTTTTCTTATTAATTTTAGACCAGAAATTCTGAAATATTAATTTAAAATGTAATCAACACTATTAAGTAGCGTTCGAATCGGGACGAGATCCGATCCTGGTATTTTTGGGATCCGGTGATCCCGATCCGGAAAAATTTCGGAAAACGAACAGATCCTAAATAGGTCAAATTATATGTCATTCGAAAGAGCTCGTCGAGTTATGTCGAATGGTGAAAAAATTTTCGTGCGGACTCATAGAGGGGCTTAGAAATAGGTCCGCGAAAATCGAAAAACCATAGGGGGGACCAAGCACTTTTTTGGGGTGAAAAATTCGAAAATGCAAATTATACCTCATTCGAAAGAGCTCATCGAGCTGAGTCGAATGACACCAAAATCAACTCGAGATCTTAATTATGAGCCGAGATAGAGGCTCAAAATGGTCAACGTAAACCTATGGGGCGTAGGCAAGGCGCTTGTGCAAAACCCCGCGCGAAGCGCGGGGTTTTGCGGCACGCGCCTCGCGGGGAGTCTACGGGCGATGGGTTCTGGGCTCGTAACTTAATCCTATTCCAATTATCGCTGTAATGGGTTATCTGGCTTCCTCCGTAGCAGGAAAAACCTCGACGGATACCAAAGGTAAGGAGCTAAAACAAACGATCATAACTTTGTCAAATCAAGTCGGATTTCGTTGATTTTGGTGTCATTCGACTCAGCTCGTTGAGCTCTTTCGAATGAGTTATATTTTGCATTTTCGAATTTTTCACCCCAAAAAAGTGCTTGGTCCCCCCTATGGTTTTTCGATTTTCGCGGACCTATATCTCAGCCCCTCTATGAGTCCGCACGAAAATTTTTTCATCATTCTACATAACTCGACGAGCTCTTTCGAATGACATATAATTTGACCTATTTCGAAACTGTTCGTTTTCCGAAATTATACCCCGATCCTGGTATTTTGATAAAAATCGGGATTTTCGAAATTTCGGGATTTTGATCTCGAAAATCCGGTCCCGATAAAAAAAATTAATAAAAACCCGAAACGAGATCCGGCATTTTCCAAAATTTTAACATAAATTCACATTTCTATGTAAAAATTAGATTTTAAATACCATTTCAACTACCCCCACTTTTCAGACTCTAATTACCCCTCCCTTCTATTTTAAATATTCAAAAATGACCCCATTCCCATTTCTTCCATTAAAATATTCCACTTTCAATTCTCGACTATTTTAGTACATTTTCGTTTTTTATTATTTCTTTGCTCATTCATCAGCCGGTAAAAGGGAAGAGAAAGGGAGGGGCTGAATGACCTCTTTACTTTCTCTTCTCCCCTTTCCTCTCTTTTCAAAAAATGCCAATGGCCCTCCCTCCCCAAAATTGCTCCTTCGTGCAAAAATTATTTCTAGCTTCCCACAAGGCTTTTAAAGAACAAGGGGAGGAAAAGGGAAAGAGAGGAACATTTTCTCTCAACAAGACTCTAATAGACTTGGATATCTAAAGGAATTCGATCTTTCAGACTTTAATTATTCCTGTATTCACCATGTGGAGCCGCTTTTCCTTAAATTAGAATTAAGTAAAGGGCCCTTTTTTCAAAAAATGCCACCACCCCCCTCCCCCCCAAAGGCCCAAAAAAATTTCTCTTTTTTCCCTTTTTGTTGTCCTCTATCAAAAAACGAGGTCAAGTAATGGCCCTTTTAAAAATAATTTTTTAGGCCACGCCCACCAAAAAGATATATATAAATTCCCTCTCATCCCCCTTAATTTTTTCCTCTCTTCGTCCATTCTATATATTTTTTTAAGTTATATTTCTTCTCATTTTTCGTCTTCTTCATAAATAATTATTACCCTCATATTTTTTTATTTTTTTTTTCGAAGGATAAAATTTCAAATAATTTTTTAGTATGTTTAGGTTAACTAGGAAAAATTTTTTTAAATTTTCATTGTAAATTCAATAAAATTTTTTTGGAAAAAAAATTGAAGGGAATTTTTGAAAAAAATTAGTTATTTTTTTATTATTTTACTCATCACTTCCTTCTAAAATCAATATAGATTAATTACCTATATCATTTATCAATAAAGGTAATCTTCCTCCAAGTTTGTTGCTCTTCCCCAGAATTATTTTTTTATTAAAAAAGGCAATATTTATTTTTATTTATTGAGGGCTTTTGGTGTTTGCTCAGTTAAAATTTATTCTTCTAGAATTTTTTTAAAAATATTTTTTGCCTCTAAAATTATTTAATAAAAAAATTTTTATTAAAAAATGAAAAATAGGGATTTCTAAAAGTTTTTTTCAATATACTTTGGTACCACAAAATACCCAATACCCAGCAGAGGTGGGTCGGAACAGTTAGAGGTTTCGGAAATTGGAAAAGCCGGAAATCGGAACTGGCTCAAAAGTGGGTGGCAGTCTTTCTTTTTTTTCTTCGGAACTTGGAAATTGGAAATCAAAAAATTTTTTCGGAACTTGGAAATCAGAAGGAAAAAATTCTTTTCAGAACCTGGAAGTCGGAAATCAAAAATTTTTTCGGAGATCGGAACTCCGACCCACCTCTGATACCCAGCCCCCAAAAAAAATAAAATTTGGGCTCAAATAGGATACACTTAATAATTTTCTAAAAAAATTTAAGACTGCCACCCATGGAGTTTTTTTTCACAAATTTCTTTCTTCCTCATTTTTTTTAAACCTAGCAATTTTTCTAGAAGAAAAACCCCTTGTTTTCTAAACCTAGTATTTATTTAATCTCTTCTAAAAACTTTCCAAGTCCACCTACTTTCAAAAAAAGATAGCGTCATTTTACCCTCAGAGTCTCTTCTTTGAACCCAAAATTATTAAAAATTTTCTATTTTTAGAGAGGTTAAGCACGTGTAGGGGAGACTCTAATGGACATATCCCCCCCTTTCCCCTTCCTCTTTTCTTTTTATGTCCTTATTTATGTCTAGTCGCCCTTTTTCCCATCATTTCATTTTTCCCTTAAAGGAATGAGGGTCAACGCGTGAAAAAATTTTTTTTTAATTTTTAAAATTTTTTTTAAATGGAGGGGGCTTTGTCTTAGAATTTTTAGAGGCTAAGTAAGAAAATTTTCAGAAAAAATTTTTTTAAGCTGGCAGGGACGGCAATTTTTCGGCACAGATAAACATCCAAGCCAAGCCTTCCCCCGCCCCTTATTTTCTTTTTTTTTATTTTGTGGCCGAATCCCCCTTAAGTAAAAAGAAGGGGATTTTTGAAGAAGCCAGACAAAAGTAGGCGGGGTCAGAAAAAAAAGAAAATAAAAGGGCAAAGAAAAGAAAATTTTTATTTAAAAACAGAAGAATAAAAAAGAAAATAAACTTTAAGAAAAATAAACTTTTTTAATGTAAGAAAATCAGAAAGAGAAAGTTTTAAAAATAATTCTGATTTATATAGTATTCAAAACAAATAAAAAATCAGAATTTTTATAAACTTAAGTTCTTTTTCGAAAATCAGAATTTTCAAGTTAATAAATTCTGACACTAAAAAGCATGAAATTAAAAATAAATTCTGATCTGAAAAATCAGAATTATTAAATAAATTCTGAAAAATAATGAGTTTCTCTTAAATTCTGATTTATAACCCCATAAAGTATTTTATAATAAATTCTGATTTTTTGAACAGAATTTTTAGAAACACTTTTAATAATTCTGATTTGTAAATTCTGATTTATTTATTTTCTATTAAATTCTGATTTATTTAAAAATACACAATTCTGATTAATTATTATTTTTATTTTTCCTCATTCTGGTCCTTTTGTTTTTATTTTTTTCAAAAGCCCTGTGGGGCGCCGTCCTTTTTTCTTTTCAAACAAATTTCCCCTTTCTCCGTTCATTTACATTATTTTTATTTTTACACCCACCGGCTGTGCTTTACCTTTTCCCTTCTTTTTACTTGTCAGATGGCCATCAATTCCCCCTCCCCTTCTTTTCACCGGCGATTTGCCCTAGGCAAAATAAATTATGGCAAACAGAAAGACAGTCAGTTTCCCTGCAGTGATGACAGGCAACCGATATTTTTCACAATAAACACACAATTGTTTTATTGAAAAGAGGAAAAGGGGAAAGTAAATGGACACGGGCCCTCTAAAAGCTTATTTTTTAAAAATAGGAAGGGAGGGGGATATGTGGTCATTAAGGGGAGAATGGATGAATAGAAGGGGGAATAGGGCTTTAGGTACTTTATGGATATGTCACCCCCCCTCCTATTTTGAGTCTCAGAGTTTTTCTTAAACGTAGAAAATGGTCAGAGATTATTTTCTTCTCCATGTCAATCATTTTTTCCTTCTTCAAGTATTTTGCCTGTTTATTTTGCTTTTTCACATATTTTGTACTTAAATTTCACTCATTTTGTTGCTGCAGTTACCACATTTCACTTATTTTGCTTAAAGAAAGAAAAATGATTGACATGGAGAAGAAATTAATCTCTGACCATTTTCTACGTTTAAGGAAAACTCTGAGACTCAAAATAATAGGGGGGTGACATATCCATAAAGTACCGGGCTTTATACAAAATAAATAAATGACCATTGAAAATTTGAATGCTTTTTTTTCTTGCACTTTTATTTTAATAAATTTTATTTTTTTATTAAAAAAATTTTTTTTAGATTTTTTTCAAAAAAATCTCAAATTTTCAATTAAAAAATCCAAAATTTCCTTCAAAAATATTTTTAAAAATTTATTAAATATTCCCTTTTATTCTACAAATAACAAAGAAGATAAAAACGCTAAAATTAAGCAATTAAAGCAAAACCACCACCAACACAAACCAAAGAAAATAATTAAAAAGAGAAGAGTTAAAAGAAGAAAACAGAGGGGGCGTCGTCGAATGGAAAAAGGTGTGGAAAACTAAATTTCAGAATTTTGATCAGAATTAAATTTTAAAAAAATCAGAATTTATTTTTAATTTAATTTGTGAAATTCAGAATTTCTGATTTGGTTTCAGAAGTCAGTCAGAATTTATTTAAAAAATTATTCCAACAAAAAGAACTTAATTTCAGAATAAGTATAATTTAATCAGAATTTAATTTCTGAAAAATCAGAATTTATTTTTGAAAAATCAGAATTTATTTTTAGATTAATTTGTAAAAATCAGAATTTATTTCAGAATAATTAGAGAATAATCAGAATTTACTTCTAAAAATCAGAATTTAATCAGAATTTATTTCTGAAAGACCAGAAAATAATCATAATTTGGTTTTAAAAAATCAGAAAATACTCAGAATTTAATTTATGAAAAATCAGAATTTGATTTCAGAAATTAAACTTAATTTTAATCATTTCCCCTAATTTGTAGGGCATCAACACAATGCCTCCAAAATCACGGGGTGGCTTAAAAGCCGGGAGCAGATGGAATTGGAGAGGGCAATGGCCGATGATTTGGTCATTATCGACGACGAGAAAGAAGAATTTGGTGGGATTTTAATTCAAAAAAATATTTTTTGGCTCTATTTGGAAGGAGTGTTCCCTTCCCTTTCTGAGCCTTATTTTTGAGGGAGGCCGGTTCTGAAAATTCAGTAGAAAAAAATAATTTAGATTATATAACAAAATGGAAATTAAAAGCCAAGCTATTAACTTTTTTTGTAATAAATTTAGGACTATAATTAATTAATTAAGCAATTAATTTCCTAGACGCGTGTCTCTTTATCTGATTTATTTTTTTAGCCGAATTAATTTTTTTCCAAAAAATTATAAAATGATGGAACACTTAAATATATCGCTAATTAATCTCCCTTCTCTCTCCCATATTTTTTACGATCAAATTTTTTGATATAACCCCCCCCCTCCCCTACCCCCCCCCCCTCCCCCTTCCCTCCCCTCTTCAGTATTATTACAATTAAAAACTTTTTTTACACTAAACAATCCAAAACGGGTCCAATTTTTTAATTATTAAATTTTTTGTTCAATCAGTGCCGTCTTTTCAATGCCATCCCCCCTCCTCTCTCCATATTTTCAATCAAAAATAATTTCCCTTCAATGCCATTTTTTGTTTTTATTTTTGATTTGGTCTGGCCCCCTAAAAATCTACTCATTTTTCTTTTTTCCTTCCCTTCTCGTTTAGTGCCGCTCGTTCCCTTCACCCTACCCCCCCCCCCTTCTATGTCCCCTCCACCCTACCCCCAATAAATGCCCAAGCCTCTATCACCCTTGCGGCGCCGAAAAGGACAAATTCAAATTTTTTGGCTGCTGAATAGAAGAGGAAGGCTAGCTACTTGAAGAGATGAGAGAAAATGAATGTGGGGACGTAGACTGACTGAGAATGGGAAAGAATGGCACGGACGGGATTGCGCAATATCATCGTGCCCTTGTGGGGTCGGGACGGCTCTGAAGGCTTTCAATTTTCTTTTTTTGAGAGTTTGCCCTTATTTTTTTGACTTACTGACCATTATCCCCCCTCTATCCTTGTATTTTTGGGGTAATTTTTTACCTTCAGACTTTTTAGGACATGTGTTTAGATTGAAAAGAGAGAAAGTATAGAGTATGTGGATATTGAATGGGGGGATATTAAATTAATGAAAAAAAAGAAAAAATAAATAAAAATCAGAAAAAAAAGACAACTGACCCATAAACAAAAATATAAAAAAAATATATAAACATTTGTTAGGCAAAGAGATTTAGGGAGAGAAAAGAGGGTAAAAATCAAGGGGGGATTTGAAGGAATTTAAATTTATTATCTGTTTATTTTTGTGTATATTCTATTTATTCGGACAGAAAAAAAGGTCACTTTTGTTTTTTAAAAAAAACCTTTGGGGTATTCAAAAAAATATATTTTCTTATTGTTAGGTTCCCTTTGACATTTGCGGACATAAAGGGAGGGAACACTAGTTGCGGATAAAACTGAAGCCTATTTAAATTTTGAATAAAAGTGTATTCCCTTATGGTCTAATAAGCATATTTTTCTATTATTCTGTGATATAAGCCAAGAAAAATTATTTATTTCGTAATTGAGAATGTCCGCAAATGTCCTTTGTCCGCAAATGTCGTTTTATCTAACAAGGGAACATTGTTTACTATGAGTGCGAATTTGATATATTTTTTGGTACCATTCGATAGAGGACCTTCGATTTACTACTGTAGTTTGCGGGTTTTTTTGGAAATTTGTCTGGGCCGAGTTATGGCCGTTCAAAGTTGGACCGCTAAAGACTGAAGTATACTATCAAAAAATTGAATTTAAAGCTGATTTTAATCTTTTATTCAAGATTAATTAATTTTAAACAAAACGGAGCTTTCCCAACTTATTAATAATTTTTATGAGCGAATTTTTAGTTTTTTTTTGAAAATTTTTTCCTTTGATGTTTTTAAATAGGGGAGGTCATTAATTCTTTTTCCGATTTATTGGGCATTTTAAATAAATTATTAGAAGGAGGAACTGGCTTTTAAAATTAAAATAAGTGAAAGTCGGTAAAGGATGATGATGAAGAGATTTATTTTAATAGATTGCGCAGAGGGGTTTTTAGAAGATTTTTGAAAAGACTGGTAGAGGGGGGGGGGACAGGTAAATTAATTTTTAAAAAGGAAGGAGAAAATATGCGCATAAAGTAAAAGTGGCAGAGACAGTCACAGACTGTGACAAGTTTATTAATTTTATTAAAGTGCAGATCTGTTGAAAATATAGTAAAAGAAAATTTTTAAAATTATCTCGATGAAAAATAAAAATTTGGAAAATCTTAGGTGTTCTTTTAGACGAATATACTTTAGTTCTCGACTTGTAAAAAATTCCAACGTGAACCTATCTTCTTGAAATTTTGTGTATTTATTGTTGCTTGTGTTAACTAACTTGTCGTTAAATTTTAAAATTTTTGATTTGGTACTTTGTGAGTTATGAAAAAATTTTGGGATGTTTGAAAAATTAAACCCGAGGTTCAATAAAAAATCTGATTTTGAATTTATCGTTTTGAAATTTTTAGCATATACTCTCAATAGAGCTATTTAATTATTTTCTAAATTTCAAATTTTTTCATTAATTTTTTAAAAAGTTATGGGCAAAAATATGGGCATAAAAGCAATAAAAAATCATCATTTTTTAACGGAAATTCTGATTTTCTGGCTATAAATTCTGAAATATAAAATCAAAAATTCTGAAATTTTTAGACAAGATAGATACCTTAATAACAAAGATTTGTCTGTAATTTCGTTATTCTGGGTCTTCATTTACCAATTTTGTTTAAACGAGTTTAGGCTTAAGCTTCGATAATTATTTAATCTGTTAATTTTAAAATATATTTTTTGATTTTTAAATAAAAAAATTTAAAAATTTCCATTTCCATGCTACTTCTTTTTCCTCTTTTTTTTTATTCTTTTTGCCACCTTCACACAATTGCTTTTCTGTTAATTTCCTTTGAGGGCATTTTTCTAAGGCAATTTACACCTTTAAATGTATTTGCTTCTCTAGGTCAAATTGAGTGTTAAAGTGTTTTTGTGTTTTTTCCGGATTTATTTTTGGCTTAATTTAATTTAAAAAAAAATAATTAATTAAAGCCTCTAGGTTTTCGTATTTTTCTCATCAACTTTCGGATTTGAAGCGCCACAAAAGGCCACACAAAAGGGCATCCGAAAAAAGGTTTTTCTTGTGTTGGAAACCAGTGATGCGGGTTCCGGAAGTGGAACCGTGGAACCTACAAAGGTCTGGAACCGGTTTGGAACTGGTTCCAGAACCGGAACCGGCCAAATTTTGGTTGTAACAAATCCCTCGTTCTTGGGTAAATGAAGACGGGATAGAACTTGAGGAAAATTAAAACTCGAGCCCCAAACTGTTTGCGCCAATTTATGCCGCGCCCAATTCCTATTCCCTTCCTATAATTAAAATTCTGATTTTCTGTTTATTCCTAGCAAACTTTTTTTCAATTTTCGATTTCTACTAGAATTTAAAAAAATATTTTTTAGACTCTTAAAGCCTCTGTCTGTCTAGTTCAACTCCTTTTATTAGGACAAATTTGAATTTATGCCTAGCCTTGCTTTGTTTGTGTTACTGATTAGTGCCATCGTTGGCGGCAACTTTCGCACTCTTTTTTCTGATTACCTTTTACTACTGCATATATTTTGCCTTATTTGTCGTATATAAACTTGAAGAGAAAATGTTCAAAACTTTTTTCTGAATTTTTTCTCCTTTATATTTTACTGTTATTTTGGTTAATTAAATAATTCTGGTTTTTTAATTAAAAAATTCTGATTTTTATTAATGCTGGTAATTTCATTTCTGGTTTTTATTAATTCTGATAATTTAATTTCTGATTTTTATTAACTACATAAATTCTGGTTTATTTAAATACAAATTCTGATTCTGGAAATTCTAAATTCTGATTTTTTCTTAGTTTTATTTTTAATATTCTTTTTTCTGATAATCATCAGCAAAAAAACTCGCTAATTTGTTTTTACATTTTCTCTGAAAACTTTTCTCTAATGAGTAGATGATGAGTTTGAGAATATTTGGATGATTTGTTTATTAATATTTTTATATCCTTTTTTAAAGGGATAATTCAAATTAATCTTTTTTTTGTTTATTTAAAAATATGTAAATAAAATAATTTTAGATATTTAGTGAAAAATAATTTAAATAAATTCTGATTTTTAATAAAAATTCTGATGACTATTAAAGGTAATTATGATATGTAATTTCAAGTAAATTGGTAATAAAAATTTATTGAAATTCTGATTTTAAAATTCTGGTTTTAAAATTTTGATTTTTAAATTCTGATTTAAAATTCTGATTTTAAAATTCTGACTTTAAAATTCTGATTTTTAAATGGTTTTCTAATTTAAAAATTTTATTCTAAATTCTGGTTTTTTTAATAATAAATTCTGATGACAAAATATTAATGGTAAATTCTGATTTTGTATTTTTTTCTAATTAAAATTCTGATTTTCAAATTTTACTCTAAATTCTGTTTTCTTTTAAATATAATTCTGTTTCTAAATTTCTGATTTTTTAACTTCAAAAATTCTGAAAAAATTATTTTAAATATTCTGATTTTTCAAATCCCCCTTATTTTCAAATAAAATATGCTTGGCAACCGCATAAAAATAAAAACCACTTATTATTATTACTCACAAAAAGGCGTCAGAACGGCTTTTGCAAAAACAAAATTTGAATTTTTGTTTGCATATTTTGTCTGTTTATTTGTTTGCGCATTTGTTGCCCTCAGATTTTTTTATTTGTTTTTCTCCTTTTTCCTCTCATTTCTCTTCCCTCTCTCTCATTTAGTAATTATGCCGAACATAAAATAAATAAATAGGTATTTTTTAGTATTTACGTAATCTGGGAAAGACAAAAATACATTTTTTTCAAATTTTAGATTGAAGCTATTTTTGCGTGTTTTGTAAGTGGCAATTTTAAATTATAGGTGGAAATAGCTTCTTCAATTAGAAAAATTTTTCCGAAAATTTACATTTATGGATTTTAAAGGAAATGGCTCGACTCGGTCGTGGGCTAACTTTTTATAGCGAGTGATATCTGGCATGAAAAGACTCATAGTTTTGGGTATAAAATCAAGAAACGAAAACTGTTTTGGTCGACGGCTCGATTCCGGCAACCATAATTCTGAAGCGATACCCTTGGATCGCTTAAAGATTTCTCGGAAAATTTTTGATTGATCCTGACTAGATCCCGAGAATAAAATAAGTTACTATGCTAATGTGCTTCTTCCTTCCTTTCTAATATGTAAATTTAAAAATGGGGAGATATTTTTTGAATATTTTTTTGCATGATTGGGTGCCACTTTTAAATAAAATAGCAACCAACATAGAAAAAATACCTTTGTAAAAAAATATTATTATTGTTATAAATAAAAAGGCTCGGAGGGAGCCAAGCCAAAGCCAACAGGTCATATTCGAATTTTTAGGCAAATTGTGAAAAGAAGAAAAAAAAATATGTGATGGAATATAGAAAAGAGAGAATAAAGTAAAAAATAAAAAAAATCTGTTGGCCAGTCTGTGAGTGAGTAAAAAAAAAGTTTTGGGAGGGAAGGATCAGGCCGTGGGCTATAACTTTTTTATAGCCAAATAAGTACTACAAAAGTACCCTCAACTGTTTGGCAATATTTTTTAAGATGTCTAGGATAAGATAAAAAGGATGAAAAGAAAAAAAGTTAAAAGAGGAAATTTGGAAAAAAATATTAGGTGCGGACATAATTAGTGGCCGTTTTATAATTTGGATTTTTAGAATTAAGTACTTACAAAATATTTTTTATTTTTATTACGAATCATTTGTTAGTGAATTTTCTAAAGGATCCCAGAATTTGAGAATTTTTAGGTATGTATTAAGGGAGTTCTGATCGAAAATGTCAAAATTTTCGAAATCATCGAAAATCAAATTTTTTCGAGTATATGTAAAGATAATATTTAGTGTAATATATCATTCGAAAGCCCTTCAAAATCTCTATCCGTCGGGCACAATGTCGAATTTTTAATCCGAAAGGTCTAAATTTTTCAAAAATGTCGAAATTCGAATTCCGGGTTCGACACGTTTTACAGACTTCATACCTCGGATTTAGTATAAGGCCTGTACGTTATTTAAAAAACCGTTTAGATCATCTTGATCGGATGATTTTACGCTGAGTTATAAGAAGCAACTTTTTGGGGGAGTGTCGTCTCATTTTTCCATTTGTGCATAGGTGAGTACACGCGGCATTTGATTTGCCTTCCTTAAGCGCAGCCCGGGTTTTTTCAGTCAAGCGTGGCCGTATATATAGAGCAGATATCCCTCTACAATTATGCAGTAGAAATTTCGGGATTTCGTCTAAACCGGCCGAGCAGGACCGTTTTCTTAATGACAGCCGTCTCCTTTGACCATTTTTGCTTCTGAGAGTTACACAGCCTTCTTAGTAAAGTCTGAACCCTATTTTTTGCTTTCTAGCATAGTTAACGATCCCATTGACTAGACAACTAAGGTTTTTTGTTTCTTGTGTTCCATTTTTGGTAATTTAAAATTTTTGGTGTAAATGCATTTGAATTTCACTACGAGGTAGTGAAGTTCAAAAAATCATAACTTTAGGAATATCACCCATATATGGCTGTACCCGGTATTAAAATGAAGGGGAGATTCAGATCTATATGTTTATTAATAATAAAAAAGAATATTTGCAAAACAACACCCCTAAAAATCTAGTCTAAAAAAACGGCCACTAATTATGTCCGCACCTAATAATTTTAAAAATTTGCGGACAGTCCGCAAATTTTCTTTTTTTGTCCGCAAATTTTCATTTTTTGTCCGCAAATTTTTATTTTTTTCCCCCAATTTTTAAAAGACTTTTTGTTCCAAGACTCTTAAAGAGAGGTGAGGAAAATGGGCGAGGATGAAAAATATGATGAGGTGGAAGGGTGCACGTGGGTGCATAAGAAGAAACAGACATAAAATATGAAGCAATTTTTCCCATTGCTGAGAAAGAAAATATTTACTAGAAGAAAAATTCTTTTAAAATAAAAATTTTTTTATAAAAATTTTTTTGAAATTTTAATACCGTTTTCTGCTTATGACTTGGAAATTTTTGGGATTTGTTAAGAATTTTTTCTATTCATATATGGGGTAAAAAAGATTCGTGATCGAAAAAAATTTAAGTTGCTCTGGAAGCAGGATATACCGCTGAACTATAAGTTCGTTCAAAATTGTCGAATCTGGGATGTCTAGTATGGTCCGATGCAGCGAGCTGAATCAAACTATACCAGGGCCTACAGGATTCGACAATTTTGTGTGGCTGTGGCTAGCGGTAAAGCGGAGTGTACCCGTTGCTTCCAGGGATGTAACGAGTTGGAAAAATGTCGATTTGTGTTTTGGATCGGCGAAAAAAGTTCGAATTCGTGTAACCCTGTCTATCCATGGTTGCAATACTTTAATATAAAAAACGGTAGTCTGAAGGTAGAAGACAATCCTTTCTCCCCATTTTTTCAAACTTTTACCTCTATTTTTTTGCTTCCGGAATTTGTTCTACTTTTCTTTCATACACTTTTATTAATCTTCTTGTCACTTTTAAAAAACCTAATCTTAGGTATATTAAAAAAAGTTCCATCTTTCTCTCTCTCCTTTTCTAGCAGCCAATATTCAAATATATAAAAGAAAAATAAGGCAAAAAGGCTTTTTTTCTGGATCATATTGAAAGATTAATTAAGTTTTTGCTTAACGCTATTTCTCCTTTTTTATATAAAAAATACTTTTTCTCTATTACTTTTAAAAATAATTTATTTTTTGGCATTCTATTTATTTTTGGCGTTTTGTTTTTATTTTTTTTATTTAACTTTTAAAAGTTGTTTTTACTTTTTTTGTTGTTTCTTTATTTATTTTTTATCCAAAGATTGGAAATTTTATTTTTTTTCATTTAATTTTCTTTTCACTGATCTGAATTTGAATTTATTTTAAGCTGTAAATGTAGTTAATTTTATGCGAACTTTTCGGGTTTTCATTTAAATACGTTTGAAAATATAAAAAATTCAGGCTTCAGATTTATCGAATTAGTCTGCTTTTATCTTTTGATTTTTTATTTGACACAATTTTTTCTAATTTTTTCCGCAACAGATTTTTAAATTTTTTACATTTATACTTTCCGATTTCGGTTATACATACACACTTGAAGCCGTTAAAGAATTGGCCGTTTTAGTCTATGGCCATAACTCTATTGATATTTTTCCGAGTCTGATAATTTTGGCAATCCCGGAGAATTGGGGTCCCTGCGAAAAAAAGTTTAAAAATAAGAAAAAGGATTTTTCTAGGATAAAAAAATATGCTGATTACGAATCCGAGCTCAGATTTTGAAAAAGTCGAATCCCGAACCCGAACTAAATTTCGAACCCTGAACCCGAATTTCGAATATGCAAATGATAGCTCGTTCGAAAGAGCTCGTCGAGCTGCATCGAATGACACCAAAATTAACGTGATTGGACAAGTTTAGACAAAGTTATGACATAAAGTATACCTATGGGAGTACTGTAGGAGTCGGCGACTTATGTCATAACTTTGTCAAAACTTGATCAATCACTGTAATTTTGGCGTCATTCGATTCAGCTCGACGAGCTCTTTCGAATGAGGTATCATTTGTAAAAACTTTTTTTTACTCCAAAAAATCAACCATGTGGTTTTTCAATATTTAGGGGTCTGTATCTCGGTTCAAACCGGTCGGATTTTATTGATTTTGGTGTCATTCGATGCAGCTCGATGAGTTCTATGATTCAATTGAAAGACTGGCCATTTTGTACAATGTATGATAATGTTAGGGGTCAAAAATCCTGTTCGGGATCAAATGTCCGAATTCGGGTTCGGGATTCGACTTTTTCAAAATCTGAGCTCGGATTCGTAATCAGCATATTTTTTTACCCTAGAAAAATTCTTTTTCTTATTTTTAAACTTTTTTTTCGCAGGGACCCCAATTCTCCGGGATTGCCATAATTTTCATATCATTCAAAAGGTCTCGTAATGCGGCATCTTTTTCTTGATTGAACCGATCTGATCATTACAAAAAAGTTACTGACAGAAAACTGATTTTTCAAGCCCGACATTGATTATCAACTTTTTTTAGAATGCTCAGATCAGTCCAATTTTGAAAAATATGAAGCATCTAGAGACCTTTCAAATGAATCGATAATAAAAAAAGTTATGGCCAGTAAGCTTAGGTTGCTTCTCCATAAATTTTTGCCACATTTAAAAAATGTATGTAAAACTGAGATTCTACTCTTTTGGCATTTTCTGAATATTTTAATTTGTATAATGGGATTGCAGTTACTAACATAAACGTGTATTTCATAAGAAAACCTGAAAAACTTAAAGGGCTCTTATTATAACAAAACCTTTTTCTTGACAAAAATACATTTTTTTCCCGAAATTGCAAAATACACATTTTCCCCCAAATCCCCCAAATTGCATTTTTCCCCCAAATTATCACAAATTTTGTTTTTAATTATAGAAATGAATGAATTAGAAGGGGGGTGCATAATCAACACATCAACTAGAACAGCAATTCTAATAGAACATGAAGATCCCGATTCCCGTGATTCTGGTATTTCAATTTCCTCTGGCTCATCCGGCACGTCTTCTTCTGATGCTTCCAATCAGGCAGTTTTATGTCGCATTTCTAAAGAAGTATGGGATTCTCCTGATGAGTGCAAGGTTTTTTTTGCGATTTTATATTATGGAGATAGAAGGTAAAATGGAATGTGATTTTAGCGTTTTTTTTTATTTTTTCGTATTACTTTTTTAATATTGATCTAATTTTGAAAATTAGGTAAGGGGATTGCTCACTAAATTATTAGCCTTATAAGGCAGTGTAGACCTGCAATTGTATTTTATACTGAATTTGGTTAATATTCAATTTGCTACTTGTCCCTTAAAGGGCAATCCCTGAGAATTGGGTTCCCTGGGAAAAAAATTCTAAAAATAGGAAAAAGGGTTTTTCTAGGGTAAAAAATGCTGATTACGAATCTGACATGAGCTCAGATTTTAAAAAAGTCGAATCCCGGACCGAATTTCGAATCCCGAACCTGATTTTGAATAAGCAAAAGATAGCTCGTTCGAAAGGGATCGTCGAGCTGCATCGATTTCTTATTTTTAGACTTTTCCGCAGGGACCCCAAATCTCCGGGATTGCCTCTTAAAGCATAGAAACCGACTTCAACTGTTAAACCGGTTACCGAAGCTTTGCTTTTCCATAAAAACTTATTAGACCAATATTTTACCTTTATTATTAAAAATTAAAATTTCCACAGAATTACTCCTTGCCAGCTGTTAAAAATCCACATAAACATGGTCCAGCATATCGAAGTATTGGCTCAGAAACGCTTTCCTTTTTGTTGGAATCACTTTCTGAAGAGGAATTTTTGTCGAATTATGTGCTCATAGATTGCCGATATCCTTTTGAATTCAATGCTGGACATATTAAGGTTTTTTTAAATTTTGGGATGAAATGTCTTTAGGGGGTTAAATTATTTTTATTTTGACAAATAATTTAATTAAATATAGTATTCTGTGAATGCCTACAATCTAGACGACGTCATTTCTTTATTTTTTCCAAAACAAAAAGGTCATTTCAACGAAGCTAAACGACGCATTCCTATCTTCTATTGTGAATACTCATCAGTGAGGGGTCCAAATATGTGAGTAGAAAAAAATTCGGAGAGAGAGAGAGAAGGGGATATTGAAAATGAATTTTAAAATTAAAAATTTTTGAGGGTTGCCAGTAGGTGATTACGTGCTAGTTTTGAGTCAGATATGAGTTCAAATTTTATTTCGTATCTCGGCGAATTCGAACTGTCATTTTGGCCAAAAATGTTAATTTCCAATTTCTAAATTAAATTCGATTTGGGGCCTATTTCAATTGTCAGCAGCTGCATTCTGTGCACAGATCGCAGAATGCGATCTGTGGTCAATTTAATTTAGAAATTGGAAATTAACATTTTTGGCCAAAATGACAGTTCGAATTCGGGTCTGAGATTCGAAATAAAATTTGAATTTATATACCGACTCAGCACACTTAATTACTAACTGGCAAAGCTCAAAATTTACTTTTAACTGAATTTTTCTTGCCGCAAAATTGTTTGCAAAAATTATTTTTCTTTTTAGGGCTGCGGCACTTCGCAAACATGATCGTATTCTAAATGAACATCGGTATCCATATATTGACTACAATGAAATCTACCTACTTGATCGAGGCTATCAGCAATTTTTTAAAGATCCGAGATTCGCAGTATGAAAATTTTTTTTAATTTTTTTAAAATTAAACACAAATTTTTCTAAAAACACGCCTGAAAGAAATAACAGAATAATTAGAAATATACTATACCGTATTTATACTAATAGAATGCCCCCCCCCCCGTTTTTATGCTATGGGGAACTATTAAGTATCCAGCAGGGGTGTGCCGAAACGGATTTTAAAATGCGAAAAGCGAAATTGATTTTAAAAAACGACACGCGAAAAGCGGAATGCGAAAGTCCAAGTGGCACAAAATATGCCTCAAATACTAAATCGGCGATACTTTATCGTAAAAAAGTGAGGGGGAGCATTCTATTACAATGAAGACGGTATTTTATTTAAACTTTTAAATATCGCAAAAACTTGAAAATATTTCTGATTCTTAATGTTAACAATTTTTTCCGTATTCCAACTTTTCTAAGTCTTAATATTAACAACTTTTTAAGAAATTCTGTTTTCCACCATCATATATTAAAATGAAGGATAAAAAATATGAAGAAGAGCTCATAAACTATGACGCTCATCTTAAACGTGCCGCCAAGAAACGGATGAAACGTCCTCAGTTGTTATATACCCCCTCTAGTCACAGGCGAGTTTCTTCTCTTCCTTTTCTCTCTAAAAATTTAAAAAATTAGTTGAAAAATTAAATTATCTCTATTTATTGTAAAGAATTTAAAAACCTCCTCCAATTTTTCTTTTATTTTTCCGTTTCCTTTTTTTCTGTTGTAAAGTATATTGTATGAAAAAATATTGTCCAAAATTTATTTTACTCCAAAAATTTATTCTATTGTAAAAGAATTAGAAAAAGAAAAAAAACAGCAAATAAGATTTTCAAAAATAAAAAATTCTGTCGTCTTAATTCTCTAAAAAATCGAGAATTCCTGACAGTTTTTTGGGTTGGTTCGAAAATTCCCTCATTTTCAACATTTATAATTTATTTTTCCATGTCGGTATTGTATACGACTTTCATGCTATAGAAAAATTCATTGGATGGGAGATGGAATTGAACAATTATGGAAAGGGCCCAAACCGAAGCATAACCGACTGCGATGATGGGTTATTTATTTTTATTTATATTCTTTCTGCAAGTGCGTCCACAACAGTCGGCTAGATCCTAGATATGTTTAGACAAAATAATACTCTTTTTATTTTAAAATTAAAAAAAATATATCTACTATACCAATGGGGTGTGCCAGTTTCGCCTTTCGCTTTTTAAAATCTGTTTCCCCTCTAAATATCCTCTCAATTTTTCCCTTTTTCCATTATTTTTTTAGAAAACAAATTTTGTAATAATTTTATTTGCTGTTTTTTTAAATCCGAATTTATCCGAAAATTGTGCCGATTTTGACGAGAATAAAAATATATTAGTTTCAAAATTTTATTTACATAAAAGGAATTATGAAAATCTTTAAAGGAAAATACATTCTGATTATTTAAAACAAATTGAGAAAATACGTGATAGAATACAAAAAAAAGAAATTCTGATTTGGGTAAATTCTGGGAAAATAATGAGAAATACAATTTAATTTTGAGTAGTTCTGATTGTGTGTTAATTCAGGATTCACATGAAAACACATCTAAATTCTGATTTCTGATTTGTCTAAATTTGAATTTAAAGTCTTATTTATTAGTCTTATTTTTCTTACTCTCAAAATTCTCAAAATTTTTTTGCCTGGTGTTCTAGTTTAAATTAGGGATCATTTTTAAGTCTTAAAAAATGTAGTTCCAAAAATGAGGCAAAAAGGTAATGAAAACAATCCGAAAATGGAGAAAATGCGGCATTACTTTACTATTTAAAATACTCACAAAAACTCACATCAATTTTAAAAATCAGATATCCTGAACTTAGTGATTAAACGAACTTTTCTGTGTTAAAAGCTTAGGGCAAAAAACTTAAAATATTGTAAGACAACACAAAAAAAATTTTTTCAAAACTTTATTATTTAATGGAAAAAACAAGCAATACAAATTATATACATACAAGCATTATAATACAAACAATAGAACAATACAGAGGTGAGTTTTATATAAGGGAGGCAAATGTACAACATGAGAGGGGAAAATTATTGCGAGGGTTGGAGAGATTTTACATTCTATGGGGAAGCATCTATTTCGATCACCGGTCTTCTTGTCTATCTGAAGAATGAGTCGACGGCACCTCCACTTGGCGGCGGTGGAGCGCGTCCTCCTCCTCCTCCGCCCTGCTCCCAGTCGTATGGCCTCTCTGGAATTCGGTTGTTGGTGAGGTAATCCTTGAGGATTTTCATGATCCATTTGTAGTCAGGGCGAGTGTAGAACTTGAGGCTGTCGATGTGTTTGAGCACTTGGCCGAATTCTTGAGGGCAACCATCGATGAGGCTTTTGACCGCCGCTTTCCTCGTCTCCAGGTCCATGCTGGGCAGCCTTTTCTTCTTGTATTCTCCGATCTAGAAAAACAAAAAATTATTGTTTTTATTAGAGTTTTAGATGTATTTACCATGTTCATGTCGCCGACATTCCCCCATGGCAGTGATCCTCTGTATATCTCGACGAGCATGTAGAACCAAGACTCCAGGTCGTCCTTGCGGGAATACTCCCTGTTGATGTGTGCTGAGATGGCTGCATAGCGTGGAGAGCCGCGGAAGTTTGAGGCCTGTCTTGGTCGACGTAGAGATCCCTAGAGGAAAATAAAAGGAAAATTTTTTACTGCTTAAAATGCTCACATCCTCGCGTTTGAATTTCCGCGCCATGCCAAAGTCGAGAAGATAGAGGACATCCAGCTCGTTCTCGTCCGCACGTCCAATTGCTGCGTTCGCTGGCTTGAGGTCCCGATGGAGGTAGCCGATCTCGTTGAGAGCTCTGATCGCGTTGACCATTTGCACTGAGATGCCAATTGCAGTGCCAGGTGTGAAGCGTCGACCCGGCCGCTCCTCGATCAGCTTGTCCAAGCTCTTTCCGACCAAGGCCATGCTGAAAAATAGAATTTATTTTAGATCCGCGCCACAAAAAGTAAAATAAATTCCTTACACGATGTAGTTGAACGTGACCGATCTGCCCGCTGGGTCCATCTGCGTATCTCGCCCAATGTCGTGACACTTGGTGAAGTGTTTGCCCTCCTTGATTCCGTGCAGGTCTTGCAGAACCTGGGCCTCCATGGCCAGCAATGGAGGGTTGGCGTTCAACGGCTCCGTCTTGAGTGCAGCGGTCAGATTTCCGTGCGTACAGAGGTAGACTGCTCCAAACGCGCCGGCTCCTAGCTTTTTGGTAATGGTCCACTTGTTGCAGCGTTGGCCTGGTTGAAGCGTTACAAGCTGTTCCTCGCCCATACTGTTGATGATGAGTGTTGTCGAACAGTTGAGTTGATGAAGGGTTGATGATTGACGCTGAAAAACAAGGCCTTTTATAGTGTTAGGACACAATTATTGTAAGCGGGGCTAAGGATAGTATAAAAGCCGTTGTCGGTGTCAGACTAGTACAGATCATACTAGCCTAGCTAGTCACTGATCCCTTCGTCTGATCCAACTTCAATTCAACCGTCGTATACACCGCTGATCAGAGGTTATTTGCTTGCTGACCATAGTGCACCACAGTTGGCGTGTAAGTGAACGTTTTGCGCAGCAACAAGGAACGCGGTCAAAATAAAGCGAAAAAGCACATCCATGCTTGGGAGACCGTACGCTAATAAAAAGACAGAACGCCAAGCACATAATAATCAGAATTAATTTTTAGAGCCTTGACCTTTAGCTTTAGTTAATCTTCTAGGAGTTGCTCTCTGTTTAAAAACACATTTAAGAAGCAAATTAAATTAATTTTTATTTTCCATTCCAAAGCATTTTTTTACTATAAAACTAATCAAAAATGTTGCTAAAATAAAAATGATAAATTATTTTCTAGTTTTTTTATATCCTTTTATTAATTCTTCTCTCTTCTAATCATGTTTTAATGAGTAAAAAAGAACAATTTTATTTAAGATTATTTTTTCCTTTTCTTAATCAAACGGTCATTTTAGTAGTTAAGCATTTCCTGTAGAGAAAAAAAGAAAAGCTTCAAAAACTTTTTTCTTTCGATTGTTGTTGCACATCTATTAAACAGTAAAAATTTATTTATTTACAAATGATTGCTGCGGGGTATTCAAATAAAAATAAATTTTTATATAACGGTTTTTTGGTTGCTTCTGCCCGCTAATGGGGTCATTCAAAAAAATTATTTTTTTTTATTTAAAGCTAGTCTCTTCTCCTAAAAAAAATTTTTCTGTTTGTGATATCTATACGAACCGGTCTTTAAAAAAGCTTGGTTCCATCCTTTGCTCAACAAAGAAGAAAATAAAGGAGAAAGTGTTAGTGGCGAAAGAGATTTTTCTTGCCATTCCTCCCTCCCAAAAATTTATTTTTTTTCGTTGATTTTTTCCTTTGTTAATCTTCATTTTCTGACCTGTTCCATCCAAAAAAAACATTTCAATCTCCCTAATGGGCTAAAACACTTCTTTCAATTTATTTTTACATATTTAGTGGAATAATCATCAAATCATCACTGTTTTTAACAGAGCCTTTAAGAGAGTTCTAAAGTCTGAGAATTTTTGAAGGAATTTTTTTATTTAAATTATCAACTAAACATTAAACTAGAGAACGGACCGGGAGGAGATTTCAGGCAAAAATTTAGTTTATCGATATTTGTCGAGATATCGATCAGGGGTGTGGCATTTCGCCTTCCGTCTCTCGCCTTTCGCCTTTTTAAAATCTGTTTCGGCACATCCCTAATATCGATCTCGATTCTTGTACTACACTCCCAGACCAGTCTCTTCTAAAAACTTACCTAATTGAGAATTTTAAAAAAATTAAAAAAAAATTAAAACATAAACAATTTCTGTTTGTCTTTTTCCCCTCTTAAAAATACATAATTAAAAATACAAAAAAAATTTTTTTTAATATTTTTTTGTTGTCCTAATGCTATTTATTAATTAATATAGATTAATATCTGCACAAATTCTGATTTTAATCCTTTTAATAAAAATTAATTCTGATTTTTAAATAAACTTGAATTAATAATTCTGATATTAATTCTGTGAAAATACATTGCACACTAAAAACACATTAATAACAGAAAAATTCTGATTTCGTAAATTCTGAAAATACATTTGCGAAAACACATTAGAAACACATTAATAAAAGAGAAAATACAAAAAAATCAGAAAAATCAGAACATTATTTAAAATAACCTTTTTCCCCTTTCAAAACCCCATTTTTACAAATTTTCTTTAAAAAACTAATTTCCATACTCTAAAAACAAAAAAAAATCTCCAAATAGCTAGAGGCGTGACAAACAATAAAAAATTAAAAACAATTGTTGTTTTAACACGTTTGGAAAGATTACTATTTATTTTATTTAGGTATTTCCCTCGTAGCGTCCCGCGCGCTCTTTGATCTTGTCACCACCACTTTTTATTGCTTCCTTTATTTTTTTGCTCATCACATTTTTAGTTTTCTTTGGAGAGAAAGCTTTATCTATGTATTCCTTTCATTTTTAAATTTGAAAAAAATTTTTTTTGGCTAAAATCCAAATTAAAAAAAATTTTTTTTTATTTTTGGATGAAGTTTTGATTGTTACTAAACATTTGATTTTAAAAATAAACAAAAAATGTTTGTCCAAGAAGAAGTTTGTCCCTCTGAGACATTGTCTATTATGCATAGTTTAGTCTGGGTCTTTGCTTATTAACTCGACTCGATTCAATTTTTTTCAATTTTCGATTTTACTATGTTTAATCGAAAAATACCGACTAAACCCTTCTTCCCAGTCATAAAAAAATCTCCAAAGCTCAGCTTCCTCAGCTTTAATATGCTTTCTCTTCTCTCATTTTTATTTTATCCACCATATCTAACGATACTAAACCAACTCATTGTCAGCCTTCTTTTAAATTATTTTAAAATCTGATAATTATTTAAAAATATTTTCTTTCTAAAAAATATTTTTCTAATTACCATCCAACTTAAAACCCATCTAAAAATCAAAAAAACAAAATTAAAATTTAAAAGAAAATTTTTCCCCTATAATTCAATTTTTTTGCCTAAAAACAATTAATTTAAAGAAAAACTTGATTTTTACATTTATTTTTTTAATTTATTTATCTTTTTTTAAATCCATCAAAGATTATCTAGATATTACCATCAGCGATGTAAAGCCTTTTATTATTTAAAAAAAATATTTTTTGTTGTCCTAATACATTAAGGTAGTTTAGTGTTAGTTTCCTCGTTATTATTAATTAATAAAGATTAATATCTATATAAATTCTGATTTTAGTCCTTTTAATAAAAAATGAATTCTGATTTTTAAATAAACTTGAATTAATAATTCTGATATTAATTGTGTGAAAATACATTAGAAACACAAAGGGAAATTCTGATTTTGTAAATTCTGAAAATACATTTTCAAAAACACATTAAAAACACATTGAAACACAGAAATTCTGAAAAAATAAATTCTGAAAATACAAAAAATACATTTCGGAAAATACATCATAAAAGAAAATTCTGATTTTGTAAGTTCTGAAATTAAATTCTGAAAATACAAAGTAAAATACATTACTGAAAATACATCTTAAATAAAAGAAAGTTCTGATTTTTTTTAATAAATTCTGATTTTTTAAAATAAATTCTGAAAATACATTCTTCTGTATTTTCCAAGTTTATTTTTGAAAACACGAACCTAGTAAAATTCTGATTTTTATAAATTCTGAGTTTTATTTCTTCTGGTATTTAATCCTTTTATGTGGATTTTAATGCTTTACTAATCGACAACATTTCCTTAATTTTATTTAATTAATAAATGTGCTAATTTAATTTTTACTTTTTGATTTTCTGACAGCTTTCTTTTACTTCCGTAAAAATGTAATAAAAGTCATTTTAAGCTTTTTTAAATGAAAATAATGGAAAGAAGAAAATCTTTTAAAAAATTAAATTTTAACTATTTTTGTATTATTTTATTTTCCTTAATTTCATTATTTTGTTCTGTGCAAGGCTTTTTATTTGGCAGTTTGGGCGGTGGTGGTGGCGGCGGCGGTGGAGGAGGAGGAACTTGGTGATATTAAATTTTAAATATAAATTTTAATTGATTTCTTCTAGTTGTTGTTGTTGCCCATCATCGTCGGGTCTATCAGGCTTTTCAAGTTCAGGTTGTGGAGGATGTGGAGGTGGTGGTAGCGGTGGATTTGGTGGAGGTGGTGGGCCTGTAATTGTGAATTGTGGTGGTGGAGGGGGAGGATATGGAGGTGGTGGTGGTGGAGGATGTGGCGGAGGTGGAGGATGCGGTGGAGGAGGTGGATGTGGAGGAGGTGGAGGAGGATACGGCGGGGGTGGTGGATGCGGTGGAGGAGGAGGAGGGGGATGTGGCGGAGGTGGAGGGGGATGCGGTGGTGGAGGAAGCGGTGGAGAAATATCACTAGGCCTCAGTTGTGAAGGAGGTGGTGGTGGAGGTGGTTGCGGTGGTGGTGGCGGAGGAGGATGCAGTAGTGGTGGTGGCGGTGGAGGAGGATGCAGTAGTGGTGGTGGCGGTGGAGGAGGATGTGGTGGTGGTGGCGGATGTAGTAGCGGTGGTGGCGGAGGAGGTTGTGGTGGTGGTGGTGACGGATGTAGTAGTGGCGGTGGAGGAGGGTGTGGAGGCGGCGGCGGTTGTAGTAGTGGTGGCGGTGGAGGAGGAGGAGGTTGTGTTGAATCAAGTGCTGGATGTTCCGGAGGCGGAGGGGGTGGCGGATGTAGTAGCGGTGGCGGAGGTGGCGGTGGAGGAGGCGGAGGTGGTGGATGTTCTGGACCTAGCGGATGTGGCGTTTCTTCCAGTCAATCTAGCAGTTATGCAGGACCGGTATATTGCGAATTAATTGAATGATGTCTTTAATTGCGTTTATTTTTAGGCTCAATCCTCTTACATATCTGTTGGATCCAGTAGCGGTTATTCAGCACCTCAGAGTGGATATGCTGGACCTCAAAGCGCAGGTTATCAACAGCAACCGAGCGGCGGCTATTCGCAACAACAACAAGGAGGGTCCTACACCGGAGGAGAACAACAACACGGTGGAACTTATTCTGGAGGAGAACAACAACAAACACCAACACAAGTCGGTACTGAATACTCAGAAGCAGTACCGGCCGCTCCTGAACCTGTTCAACCGCCACAGGCTCCAGTTCCACAGACTTCGGTTCCTGCAGCACCTGAACCAGTCTATTCACCAGCAGCGCCTGCAGCAGCACCAGCGGCACCTGAACCAGCCTACTCACCATCAGCACCAGCAGCGACTGAAGCAGCCCCACCTCCTCCACCTCCTGATACACATGCATATCAGGTCATTTAAATTCTCAGGATTATCATAATATTTTATTTAGGAAGTTGAACCTTCAGCAAGTGCTGTTGAACAAGATACCGGCAGTAGTGGAGGTAGCCAGCCAAGTTATGGAGGCTCTTCAGGTTCTAACACTCCTAGCAGTCAACCAAGTTATGGCGGAGCTGCCGCAGCTGGTGATAGATTGCAAGAAGTTCAAGAAGACAATGACGATAATGCTGATAATGATGTTAATTTTCTTTAAAAATTCAAAATAATTTTGAAAATTTTTACCAGAATGATGGAGACGTAGAAGAATTACGAGGAGAAAAACAAAAAGAACAACAAATAACATTTTCAACAACAACAACAAAAGGAAAACATATCTCAACAACACCTTCATCATCCTCTCCTTTAAGAATTACCCCAACAAATTTACCTAGAGCACCTCCAGGCAAAAGTCCTTTAGCTAAAGAAGTCCCTCGTTTACCTCAACAATTTCAACAAAAAGAAAAGAAAAAATTAACAGAAATAAAAGGGCAACAACAACAACAGCAAACATCCTCAACATCCACAACACCTACAGCAACTGATATTTTTATTGAACCTATTGATATTGCTAAACTTAGATTATCTAATGATACGGAATGTAATAGTGAAGAATTGAGAACTATAGTTTTGGAGGTAAAAAGAAACATTTCTCGTTATAATTACGAGTCCCTTCAGCCCCTTTATGTGTAAATAATTCATAAGTCAACTCAAGTCGAATTGAGGGTGTAGTGATAGAGGACTTCGATTAGGGTTATAACTGGGACTAGGGCTGTGCGCCATTGCGTTTTGGAGCCCATTTTTAGCCGATTTTGGCGTGTGGCGTGTTTTAGGGATTTGAAAATTTTGGCGCATAGCCCTGACTGGGACTAGAAGTTGTAAATAAACCTCTTATTCCGTGAACATTAACCACTTCAGCACCTTTATGTCCAAATAACCCACAGGAAGTCTTCCCGAAACCATAGGGAAATCCTGATTCCACAATCTCTTTAGACTGTTAATCTTCTTTTAAATTTAAAAATAATTTCCATCCCATATAGAATCTAACAAATGATGACCTAAACGCCGCAAAACGAACCATTCAATTACAAGCAGAAGCTCGTTTTGGAGGCAGATTTGACGTTATATGCTCTCACCATGATTTTTCTTATATTACAAACACTGAACTATGGTGCCAAGAAACTAGAGACAGTACTAGTTGTTACGCCTATAGGCAACTTGGATATTAAATTATTTTTAAAGGAAAATAATTTTTTGAGGAAACAGTTGGATAATTGATAAAAAAAAATAAGCGAACTGGAATAATTTAAATTTTTAAAGTTCCAACTGTTTTCTAAAAATTATACATAGTTTTTCCATGTTCTTTCATAAAAATGCTCTCATTCAGTAATTTATTCGCCTACATAAATTTATTTTTTTTTTAGTAATTCTTAATGTTTTTAGTAATTTTAATAATTTTTATCATTTAATAATGTACTTATTAATAAAAATATCCAGTGATTTAAAATAAATTTAATCTTGTATTTTAATACGTAAGATGAGAGAAATTTGGTTCTTTTTTCCTATAAAAGCAAACCTAAATATTCCACTATTCAACATTCTTCAATTTTCTTCACAAATCTACACGCTTCTCAACAAGTCCAAATGGATTCTACGGTTACAACGGCCATCAAGGTGGAGGAATACAGCTACAGCGCGGAACATCTGTCAGATGACATTGACGACACGCAGCGGGACATCACCGTCGAGGAAGACGAGCCAGCCGAAAACGAACCAGTGGAGGGCGTCGACTCGTGCCGTGAACTTCACGAAACTGCAAGGGAGACCATCAGTGACGAGGATAATGTGCTGCTGGGAGATGAAGAAGACGAAGATCTGCCAGCCGATGAGACGCAGAGGGAGGAAGAAGAAAAGGAAGTTGAAACGGCTGTGACGGACAGCGACGGAGAAGAGGAAGAGGTGGACATGAACGCTCTGATGGCTGCTGAGCTCGATAACTACCCAAACATGGACCGCTGCACCAGTGACTGTGACACGGCAACTGTGTATTCCGAAGGCGAGGAAGAGCAGCCGCGCATGTACATTGTTGGAGAGACTAAACCAAGTGAGTTTCTGACATTTTCTGATTCTTATTTTCCAAAAAAATTCTTTTTTTTTCAGAATATAAGCTCTACCGAGCAGCTCGTCGTGCCTCATTCTATGTGGACAAGGGAATGGAGAATTCTCACGCCTACTACACCGACTACTCCAACGGCTCTGTGGTGGCGCAAATTGCAAATGGGATGATGGCAAACGACTAGAGAAAAGTGAAGCCTAAAAGTGGAAATGAGGATAATTGCTTTGTTATATATAGATATATATTGTTTGTAAATGTATTGTGTGATCTATTTGTTGTATAGCTATTGTATATTTTGTAAATTGTTCTTATGTAAATTGTTGAGATAATTGGTTTTGAGCTAGATTTTTAATAGATTGTCCAAAATTAGTGACCAAAAATAGGCTGACACTTACTAAATCAATTCAGAAATTAAACAAATTTTATCCTAATTCATTTTATCGGCCTAAGAAAATCACTAGACAAAAACGAAAAACTTTTCCATAGTCAAACAAAAAAATTTATACACAAAACCAAAAATAGTCAATGTCTCGTTTCACTTATTAAATTTGTGGCCCTAAAGAGGGCCGTTTGGGTTTGGTTGTTTGTGTTCACATTGTAGTCATTCAAGTACGCTCACCACGAATTCGTCGGGCAAGTTGGATGTCTAAAAATTTAAAATTTTTGAAACTGATTAAAAATTCTCGAAAACTCACCCTTTGGCATGATGGTCACACGTTTGGCGTGGATTGCACACAGGTTGGTATCTTCGAAAAGACCAACAAGATATGCCTCAGAAGCCTCTTGCAAAGCAAGAACAGCGCTAGATTGAAAGCGAAGATCGGTCTTGAAGTCTTGCGCAATCTCTCTGACCAGCCGTTGGAAAGGAAGTTTGCGGATAAGCAATTCGGTCGATTTTTGGTAACGACGAATTTCACGCAAAGCAACAGTTCCTGAAAAATGATTTCAAAACTAGCTAGAAAAAAATAATTTTCTTGCCTGGGCGGTAGCGGTGCGGCTTCTTCACACCTCCGGTTGCCGGTGCAGATTTACGCGCAGCTTTGGTGGCCAGCTGCTTACGCGGTGCCTTTCCTCCGGTAGACTTACGAGCTGTTTGTTTGGTACGAGCCATTTTTGTTTTAAATCTTTGTTGTTGTTTTTAAGTAGACGAACACTTTTTACTTTTGAAAAGTGAGGGTTATACTAGGAAAAAGTCTTAAATAACGAGGTCACTTTTCTGAACACGCCCACAAACAGAAAAAGCGAAGCTAGTTTGCCCGCCAAAAAAAGCTAAAATCAACATTTTATGTAATAGTAAGAGAAAAGAAAACGAGAAAAGATAATGGGCTAGACAACAAAAGAAAGTTTTTTATTCCATTTTTAAATTTTGTCTACTTGTCTAGTCTCCAATTTCAACACTATCTCTATTATCTCCTGCCTTACACACCATGGCGTCGTTTCTGCGTCTCTTCTCAGCAAAGACCGCCCATCTTCTTTCTTTTCTATTTAAGATTCCTTCTTCTTGTCCACCTCACAGTTTCACTGTGACCAGCAGAATTTACAAGCTTTCTTTCAACTTTAACAGTTATCAAAACAATGTCAGGACGTGGAAAAGGTGGCAAAGCAAAGACTGGCGGAAAGGCGAAAACTCGATCTTCGCGTGCCGGACTTCAATTTCCTGTTGGACGTCTGCATCGCATTCTCCGCAAAGGCCATTATGCTGAACGGATCGGCGCTGGCGCTCCTGTCTACATGGCCGCTGTTCTTGAATACTTGGCTGCCGAGGTTCTCGAATTAGCAGGCAATGCTGCTCGTGACAACAAGAAGACCCGCATCAATCCACGGCACTTGCAACTTGCCGTGCGGAATGACGAGGAACTTAACAAGGTTGGGAATTTTTTTTTAGGTTTTCATTTTTTTAATTTTTTAGTTGCTCTCTGGCGTGACCATCGCGCAAGGCGGAGTGCTTCCCAACATCCACGCCGTTCTGTTGCCGAAGAAGACTGCAGGCGAGACTGCTTGAATTGCTGTGACTACAACAAACAAACCCAAACGGCCCTCTTTAGGGCCACAAATATAATAAGTGAAACGAGACATTGACTATTTTGTTTTTTTTGTGTAAAATTTTTGCATTTTATTAATTTTTGGAGTAATTTATTTAAAATTTGGCATTTTTTATCTTTTTATTAATAATTTGTCTTCTTTTTTGAGTATGAATCATTCGAATTGAATTCTGCCAACTTGTTAGTTTTTGTTTTTTCTGTTTTAAGAAAATTACACGAGAGCTGGGAAACTCTAAATTTTGTTCTAGTTATTAACTTTGACAAATTGGTTTTTTTAGAACAGGAAAATTATTAAATGCAAAATACATACTATTTAAAAATCGTATAAATTTTCTATTATTTTTTTCCAACTTTTTGAGCAACTTCCCAGATATTGAATATTTATATTGTGTCGTGATAATACTTGGAGTCAGGGCAAACCACCGGCCGACCATTCTACCTTACGGCTATTTGTTCAGACCAGGACCCAACAGCATTGGAGTAAAAGATACATACATAACGACTTACACTTTTCATCGAAACTGTGTCTGTTATTCTACTTTGTCTTTCTATTCCAAATTTTTACGTACAAGCCAAAAAGTTGTGATACAAGTTTGGAATTGTTCGTTAATCTAGTTTATGTTACGGCCTTGTTAAATTTTCCATTCTCAAGCAGGTTGAGGATTGTGCTCATAGCGCAAAAATTGTATAAAAACCCAAGCCAAGCTGTTTTGTTTTTGCCCGCCAATTTTTGTTTTTTTCTCATCGAAAAAGCATAAAAGAACAAAAAACATTCCAAAAGTGAATTAAACAATGGTGTTTTATTTTCAATGAGACAAAGGAGAACATTGTCAACAGCACAAGATAAAAACCCCAGCCATATAAAAATCAAATGTGAATAAAAAATGGTTGATGAGTTAATGAGAGGAATTGTAAAGTAATGGGTAAAAAAATAATTTTATGAAGGATATCAGGCGATTTGAAAAGGATATCGATATTTAGAGGATCTTCTCTTAGTCTCTGCGATGTTTTCCTCATATCTACCTCTTGTAGTGTTTATTATTCTAAAGAAGTCAAGCCAATACGTTAAACGCGTTTAAAGGAGGGACAAAATCACTCTTTATGGTATTTTTGAAATTTGTTTGACTAACACCTCATTCACTTCACTCATTCCTAATGAATCAGAAGCCAAACCAAATTGTTTGAATTGTCTTAAAATTGTTGAAGGCTAGCCGAAAGGAAAAAGCGAAAACTGTATTAGAAACAGAACGTGCTGTTTAGTTACTTTTTAAAGATGGAAAATAACGATAGGAAAAAAATTATAAACCGTAAGGATAAACAAAAACACGTGCAACGGGATCAAAGTTTGAGTTTTATCATAAACCTAAAAAGAAAGTAGACATCAAAATAGACACTTTAAACGTCAAAGGCTATTTCATTTTCCAGCTAACAAAAATTGGTTTTCTAAAATTATCTCGTAAAAACCAAAAATTTTATTTGAGGTAAAGCAAAAAAGAAAAATAAATTTATACGAAATTCAAATAGTCAATGTCTCGTTTCACTCATTAAATTTGTGGCCCTAAAGAGGGCCGTTTGGGTTTGTTTGTTGGACTTCAGCTGCCTTCCACCAAAAGTTCTTTAGCCACCAAATCCGTAAAGAGTACGTCCTTGGCGTTTCAACGCATAGACGACGTCCATGGCTGTGACAGTCTTTCGTTTGGCGTGTTCGCAATAAGTTACCTGGGAAATTAAAAAGTCAAAATCGAAATTTTTCTTAAAAATCTTACCGCGTCGCGGATCACATTTTCAAGGAAGACTTTCAGAACACCTCGAGTCTCCTCGTAAATGAGTCCGGAAATACGTTTCACTCCACCACGACGTGCCAATCGACGGATTGCCGGTTTGGTAATTCCCTGGATGTTATCACGCAAGACTTTTCGGTGACGCTTTGCGCCTCCTTTTCCAAGTCCCTTTCCGCCTTTTCCTCGTCCTGACATTTTTTGTTGTTATTAAGCGTTAAGATTTTAAGCAGCGAAATTGTTGTACAGAAAACTGTGGAGAATGCTGTTGTTTTTCTACTTTTATATTTGTAGAGTCGCTTGGGTTTTTAATGGGCGTATACTTTGTTGGAAAAAGAAAAGAAAATAATACAAAAGAACACGTGTTTGTAAGAGAGTGATTAGAGAAAAAGAGAAATAAAGCTTGCATTTTTGTCTAATACTCTCTTATTTTTATTTATACTCTACCTTTTTATTTTCTATATTCAATTAATAGTTTGGACATTAAATTCGATAGACACGCTTTTTTCTCTCTAATTTTGGGCGGGCAGACAATTTTAGCTTTGTATAAAAGTCTTATATTGACCATTCTTCCTCATTTTCCAACCGCTTTAAAAAACAACGTTCAAAACTACATCAAGCTAAAATCTTTAATGGCACCTCCAAAACCTTCTGGTAAAGGAGCGAAGAAAGCTGTCAAGTCAACGAAAGCTGTGCGCACTGGAGACAAGAAGAGAAAGAAGTCGCGAAAGGAGTCTTACTCGGTCTACATCTACCGAGTTTTGAAACAAGTCCATCCGGACACTGGAATCTCCTCAAAGGCGATGAGCATTATGAACTCGTAATAATTTTGTTTTTACTTTCAAGTTCACATTTCCTTATTTTAAGGTTCGTCAACGACGTGTTCGAGCGAATTGCTGCTGAGGCTTCACGACTTGCGCACTACAACAAGCGCTCTACCATCTCTTCGCGGGAAGTGCAAACTGCTGTTCGTCTGATCCTGCCTGGCGAGCTTGCTAAGCACGCCGTTTCGGAAGGAACTAAGGCGGTGACGAAGTATACTTCGTCCAAATAAATGGCTCAACATCGCCAAACAACAAACAAACCCAAACGGCCCTCTTTAGGGCCACAAATGTAATGAGTGAAACGAGACATTGACTATTTTGTTTTTTCTTTGATAAAAACTTTAAATTGCTTTTGTTTCTTTTTTATTTTTGTCATATAAAACTCAATATTTTGTTTTACATACTTTTATGGTTTTGATTTGTCTTTTAGGTGGATTAGGTTGAGTTTCAATTGACAAGACGGGGTATTTCTAGCATATTGGTGTTATTTTTCTTTTTTACGTTGTTTTTAAATTTCCGTTGCTAGGTGTTTTTCGATTAATCTAGGTTGACGGTTCATTAGGAATCGATATTTTTACATTGGCGTTTTGTCAATTTTTACTCAAGCTGACGTTTTGTCCATTCTTTCCCCTTTTTATTTTTGCTTTCGTAACATCCTCAAGGATGTTTGCTTGAGTTTTGGTTGTTTGTATTGAGTAAATTCGCTTCTTAAACATGAAACATCGTCGTAAACCTCGAACACCATTTTTCAGATGTAATTCTTCGAGATTATCAAGAGTTTATACACGAAAACATTTTCGTATTGGTTACAGAAACTTTCAAAGAGGTTTTATTTCTATTCCCCAGAAATTTTACCAATTTTAGGCGATATTGTCCGCATCACAGATTCTACAGATGGAGAGGATTATTTCGCCCAGATAATTCAATTGATAGTAGACGAATATTCTCAAGGATTTGCTTTTGTTATTTGGCTGGTTCCAAAGTTGGGATATAATTTTAAGTCTTCGGATCAGTTTGATATGTCAAATTATACTTCTTTTATGGGTTTGTTTTTTGTTTTTATCTAGCTTTTGTTTTTTTTTGTTTTTATTGGTTAGTGTCATACAAAATAATTTTTTGGGTATTTTCGGAATTTTAGCAATTATAAGGTTCCAATTCCTCCAAAGAAACAACTCGGCTAGACTTTGACTCCCCAACACAACAAAAAATATGTTTTTCCAATGTAATTAAATGCGCTGAGTTCAAATATCACTATAAAAATGCTCAAAACGGTCTACTTTGCCATTTTTTCCCGGATTTTCAGACCCCTGAAAATCGAAAACCATAGGGGGGACCAAGCTGATTTTTGGGGTCAAAAATTCGAATATACAAATAATAGCTCATTCGAAAGGGCTCGTCGAGCTGAGTCGAATGACACCAAAATCAACGAAATCCGACTTGATCTGACAAAGTTATGACCGTTTGTTTTTACCCCTTCCACAAGGTTTTCGCGGAAAAAAGTTTTTGCCGCTGCGGAGGAAGCCGGGCATGTCGAGCGGAACGACGGCCGCAGCTTCGCTACGGTCGCCGCGAGCGCAGCGAGCACGACCGCAGCGAAGCACGGCCATCGTGTAGCGAAGACCATGCCCGGCCTACCCTCCGTAGCAGCACAAAAACAGTTTTTCCAGCGAAGATTCTGTTGGTCATAACTTTGTCAAAAATCATCCAATCTAGCTGATTTTGGTGTCATTCGACTCAGCTCGACGAGCTCTTTCGAATGAGCTATTATTTGCATATTCGAATTTTTGACCCCAAAAATCAGCTTGGTCCCCCCTATGGTTTTCGATTTTCAGGGGTCTGAAAATCCGGGAAAAAATGGCAAAGTAGACCGTTTTGAGCACTTTCATAGTGATATTTGAACTCAACGCATTTAATTACATTGGAAAAACATGTTTTTTGTTGTGTTGGGGAGTCAAAGTCTTACCAACAACTCAATAACTTATTGGACATTAGTGAACGACATATCGACTTTTTCTTAAGGAAAAAAAGTCGTTTTAAAAAAATCTACAATTATTCGCGAACGACTTTTTTTAATAAACAAAACGCCAGAACTACGTAAATATCGATGTTTTACGCCAAACGATTGCGAAACGACTTTTTTGTATCTCTTTTTCTCTAATTTTTCATTATATTTCCTTTCTCTTTTTCTATTAATTTTCGTCTCTCCATTAATTTTCGTCTCGGGCATAGGGGGAAGTTAAAAACAAAATTTCAATAAAAAATGAGACAAATAAACAAAAATTTATCAAAAAAAATTTATCAAAAAAACTAAAAGCCAATGTCTCGTTTCACTCATTAGATTTGTGGCCCTAAAGAGGGCCGTTTGGGTTTGGTTGTTCACTTCAGCTGCCTTCCACCAATTGTTCTTTAGCCACCAAATCCGTAGAGAGTCCATTAAGACTGCAATTCAAAGGTTGCCAGGCAGAATCACTTCAACAGCAAATCGCCCGAGCACGTCGTTGTAACACTTAGAAAAATGAATTAAAAAATTGAAAAAATTTTAAACAATTCCAAAAAAATAAGATTTAAAAAACAACCTCTCCTATTGTTTCCCCATTGTTGCAGCCGTAGGATGGAGTTCGACACACATCAAGCAAGTTTTGATTAAACATAAAAAAGAAAAAATTTAGGAATGAAAAAAATTTAGCAACTAATTCTAGGATCAATGAAATCTGACCAATATTCAGATTTCTCAATATTCGGATACAGATCACTGAATATTGAGAAACCTTAGGGGCGGTTTTTTGGAGTAAAAAAGTTTATACAAACGATAGCTCATTCAAGTTTCAGGGTGCGAAATTCGGTTCGGGAAGTGTAATTTAACCCGGAAAGTAATTTACCCACAAATTATAATGCACCGAAAAACAAAATAACCTGATAATGGTTGCTGCTCCAAATGTCGTTGATGGTAAGTGTTTGCTTCTGAAAATTCACTACTACCATTAACAATAAGACTTCCAAATGTTGTACTAGGAGGCTAATGAGACAGGCATTAATTCTACAGCTTCAAAATTTCAATTTTTCTGCAATTTTCCTTCAAATTTCCTTTCCTACCTCCAAAGCCTTAAAAAAACTTTTGTAACCCCTAAAAATAAAAAAAATGAAATCCAATTTACAAAAAACCTCCTTACAAATTGAGAGACTGCACTGAACGAAAATTAATAGAAAAAGAGAAAGGAAATATAATGTGAAATTAGAGAAAAAGAGACACAAAAAAGTCGTTTCGCAATCGTTTGGCGCAAAACATCGATATTTACGTAGTTCTGGCGTTTTGTATTAAAAAAAAGTCGTTCGCGAATAAAAGTAGTTATTCGCCGCGAATCGACGAAAACGTAGATATGTCGTTCACTATTGGACATCTAACTTTGAGTACCCATTGACCGAAGCTTACCTACAATGATCTAATTTTTATTTCAACCCGTAGGCATTAGGGGATTTTCGAATCTTACTAAATCTAGTATTAAACGATTTCATTCGTCGAGCTAGTGATTGGTACCAAAATTGTTAAGGACCAGAAATTTTCCAGCAAGTTTCGCTTTGCGACGTTATGGCCTCGCGCCTACTAGGGCGTGTCCCAGGCATTAGATCCTGGTTTTCCTTTACTGATTACATAATTTTTTATTTTTCTAGAAGAGGAAAAGCCAGTCCCTCTTAGTGCTTGTGAATTCGAGTGTCATTCTTTATTACCAAATTGGTCACCTGAAGACGAGGTTCGTGCGCAGTTTCGAAACGAATTAAAGGAAAGAATAGAGGCAAACAAAAGAGAAGGGATTTTCTAACTATTTTGACTTGTTCTTTTTAAAATAATTTAGGGTTTTTTAATCTAATAAGTTTTTTTAATTTTAATATTCTTCCTTATTTAACCTAAATAATTTTATTTTAGTAACAGAAGCTTTTTCTGACTTGTAAATTAACCAAAATATAATTTTTTTCAATTCATGGTACTTGTGAGTTATCTCTGAGACATATTTTGCGGACACACTTGATGGGCACAATGACCAGTCTTTCTTCCTCAATTTCACTCTTCTTACTTCATTCTGTAATCAAGGGAGTCCGCAAAAACTGTGTCCGCAAGAATTATGAGTCTGCAAAAACTGGTCCGGGATAACTCCATGTACCCAATTCTTTACTAATTAATTAACTAATATAATATTTTGAGTTTATTTTGTAATATTGTGGGTACTTATGAAGATGGAGGTGCCCTTTCTGCGGACTTTTTTTGCGGACTTTTCTTACTTTTTAAATGTTTTGGTTGTTTTGCTTTCAGCAAGTTTTGCTCGTAGCAATTAACTGTCAAAAGATTATTAAAAATTTTACTTTAACTAAATTTTCAATTACCCGCTGATGAATTTCGACAATGGATCACTGATCTCGGAATGCTTCATAGAAAAAGAATGTGTTAATGTGGAACAGAAATGCGGTAATTTCAAACATTGTCCCCCCCCCCCCGTTATTTTTATTACCTAAGATTGTACAAAATGGTCAGATTTCCTTCCTCTCTTTCCTCTATTTGAGCTTGGCATATCAAACCAGAAACATTGTTAAAGAGAATAATAAAATTAATTGAGTTGTTCAATATTGAGTTCAATTTATTTTTTCAGTTGTTCAATATTTTTAAATAGAAGTAAGAATGTAATGTTTTTACACACACATTCATAATGTTATACACCAAATCAATTTTATTTAATTCTTTTTTTTTTGTTTAAATTGTTTTCGAAGGCAAAAAAAATAATCTTCTCTTTATCAATGTCTCTTGTTTGAATATGTCAAAGGGCAAATAGAGGAAGGGGAGGAAGAAGAAAATCTGACCTTTATGTACAATCTTAGGTAAGAAAAATAATAAGGGGGAGGGCCTTTGACAGTTAGTTGCTACAAGTAAAATATGTAAAGGAAAGGAAGAAAAGTCCGCAAAAAAAAGTCCGCAGAAAGGGCACCTCCATCTTCATAAGTACCATATTGTGAATACTAAAAAATAATAAATTCAAAAAACAAGTCTTTTTGATTTCATTCTCATTGTTTTTATCAACGTACTTTTAAATTAGATTTTAATAAATGGATTTTTTCCCCTAATTTAGCCATTTACCTTCTACCATTAGTTTAACAAGAAATATTTTTTTAAATGCAACGTGTTCATGCTTTGATAAGCGAGGATGAATTTCATAAAACGGTTTGCTTTTTAATTTTTAAAAATAAAAAAAAATTTTTTATTTAAAGGATTATCTGCCTTCAAGTTGCTCTGATGTTTTGCTGCCAGCTATTGGTTCGTCTATTAGGTAAAATTTTGAAAATAATATCTTGTAAAAAATAATTTTTTATAGTCGTTCAGCTACACCAGAAGTCAATTTTGATCTTAAAAATATTCCAATAGTTACACCAAGAAAATTTATTCGGGCAAAGCGTTCTTCAAGTCGGGCAACTACGCTCACCGATTCTATTTCGCGAATTCCAACAGTTTCAATTTCTTCGAATATTTGCTCTTCGGAAATGCCTAAACCTGTCTTGCAGAATATTGTTTCTACTGTTAATCTTGGTTTCTTTTTTGATTATTAATTGTAAATCGAGAAGGGGGATTGGGTCTCTGATGGAATTAGGAATTGTTTAATTGTAGGATTGCCTTTATTTTGAAATCAAAGACGCTCGTTTTGCTGACTAAGACAACCCTACTTTAATTTTTTATCTCTTTATTCGGTATGAAGCCAATCCTCAAAAAAACTATTGAGGATTTGACATTACGGCGCATTTCCCTGGTTTGCCATTTCGGCGGCTTTTTTTTAATCACATTATTTGCTTCATTCACGGCTTATTTACCTCTTCATAGTGCCTTTATTTTGACCTTTGTTTTTTTTTTGGTTTTTGAAATCTAGCCTTTTAGAATCTTAAGCAAATTTATTCTATTTTTACTTAAATTTAATTTCTCTTTGATCATTATCTAGACAAGGAGACAATTTAAATATTAAAAAAAATTAAGCATTTTTTTAGATGTTCGCCTTGATCTCAATCAAATTGCAAAAACAGCGCTCAATTCCGAATACAATCCTAAACGTTTTTCTGCTGTAATTATGCGTATTCGAGATCCTCGTTCAACTGCTCTTATTTTTAATAATGGTTTTTCTTTTTCTAAATTATTAAAGAAGAAAATTTTTTTAGGAAAAATTGTTTGTACTGGCGCTAAATCAGAAGAAGCTAGTCGTTTAGCAGCTAGACGTTTTGCTCGAATTATTCAACGTCTTGGATACAATGTTCAATTTAATGAATTTAAAGTTCAAAATTTGGTGGCTTCTTGTGATTGTAAATTTCGTCTTCAATTGGAAGGTTTTTTAATTTTTAATTTGATTTTAAAAAATTAAAAAAATAATTTTGACCATAAAATTTCAAATTATTAAAAATTCAGAAAAAATTGCTTTTGATTGTAAAAATCAGGCAGCATATTTGACTAGCGGGTGGGGAGCCTTGTTTGTTTTTTCTTCTCTATTTTAAATGAATGTTTCGCAGACTTCGGTTGCTCATCAAATTTTTTCCTTATTCTGGAAAAAAGCCCTATAACGATCTAGTGAAGAAGCAGTTGTGGATGCCAGTTAATTTGTGTTGTCTTCAACTTCTTCGTCCTGCATTTCTCTTCATCATACACGTCCTTCTACTTGTGTTCTTCGATCTTCACCAAATATCTTACAATATTTAAATTTCTTCTATTTTTTAATCCCTCTAAAGACATGCCAACTACCCTACATAAAAACTTCTCCGTTGTAAAACAACATTTCTCCACAAATATAAATATTCAGCTATATATTTGACGACAACGTTTTAATTAAAAAAATTAAAACAAAAATTATTTAAAAAAACTACATTAATTATTAAACCGTCTTATTTAGGTAGCTTCCTTTTAAGTTTTTCTTTCTCTTTATTTTTCTATCCTCTAAATTTTTTTTAATTTTTTCCTTATTTCTTAAACACCCAATTTTGTATTTATTTTTATTTTCCTCTATTTAGGTTTTGCTATAACTCATTATCAATTCAGTACTTATGAGCCAGAATTGTTTCCAGGACTTATTTATAGAATGGTTAAGGTTTGTAAGAATTCTTGTTTTTTTTTTAAATTTTTCTCTTTAAACCCTAAAAAAATTTCGAACATCTATTTGGGAAATCTGAAGTTTCCCTTCTGATTCCTCCCTTTTTTAATTTGTAAATATGATTACTTTCCAAAGGCAATCAGGGTGGTCCTTTTGACCCCTTTGGGAGGCATTTGCTCCCTTTTTGACCTTCTTGCCCCCTTTTTGACCGATTTCGCTCCCTTCTTGTCCCCTTTTTGGGAGGCCATGCCTACTTTCGGTGGTTTGGAAAGGGCCACCCTTAAGGCAATATAACGAATCGAGGAGCTAGTAAACACCAAAGTTATTCCTAAAAAAATTTTTTTACAAAAATATAATTTATTTTTACACAATCAATTTTATTTTTTTTTGTTTATTTAGCCTCGTGTTGTTTTGCTTATCTTTCTCAGCGGCAAGGTGGTCATTACTGGGGCAAGAAAAAGGGAGCATATTGATGAAGCTTTTTCTCAAGTATTTTTTTTTAATTTTTTAATTTTTTAAAAATAATTTTAAAGGTTTATCCAATCCTGAAACGTTTTAAGCGATGATTTTGTGTTGTAGGTTTGTGTCTTTTAAATTTACTAGAAATACTTTTCTTCTTTTGACCTCTTAAAAAGCAAAAAACATATTGTTTTTATATTTGTTCTTTTGTGTTGGACGTCTTGTTTAGAGTTTATTAAACAGAGAAATTTGGTTAAAAATATTTAAAAATTTTTTTTAATAAATCGAAGTGACTTTTCGAATAACCTTTAATTTGACCATTTTGACCAAGCTCCCTTTAAACAATTTTTACGGACAGATTAGGCCCATAAATTGACAATAAATTACCGCTATTTCTCCACAAAAAATTTTCCCCCTCAGATTCAACAACTTTCTCTGTTTAACAATTTTTAAAAGAAAATTCTTTTGCTTAACCTCCCCCAATTTTCTTTCTTGAATTTTTTCTTTATTGTTTTATTCATCAAAATTGTTTATAAAAGATCTCTCTAATATTATTCCCCAAAAATATCTCAAAATTATCAAAATAATCTCATTGTTCAAAAATGTTATTTTTGTGCCTTTTTGTGCAAAATGATACTTAAATAATTGATTTCTTGCCTTAGATTATATTTTTTGTTTTCTTAATATTATTGTTTTTTGATAAAAATGCCGGTTATTATTTTTATTTATTTATTTTTTAAAGATTATTTTAACTTTTAAATAATTTTTTGTAAATTAAAAAAAATTATTTTCTAAACTTTTAATTAGTCATGTCTTCACTCGTTCAAGATGAGACGGAATGCAAGTAATTAAATTTTTTAAATTAAAAAAATATTTTTTGAAATTTTTTCTAAATTTAGATCAACTCTGGGTACTTTATTGTATACAGAGAGAAAAATTTATGGGTTTTCTGCTAAAGTAGTTGATGTAATCCTTCCAACGAGCAGTCTGTTTGGGCATGTTGAATACAAATTGGAGTTAAAGGTTTCTTTTAATTTTAATATTTTAGGAGCCCAATTCTTAAATTTGGGGATTTCTTGAATACTTCGTGTTAGGGAATTGTTAAATTAGAAACACGAAAAACTTTCGAATTTCGTGTTTTTGTAAGTAAAACCCCTATTCTACTTATATGAACTATTTTATGATTTTATAGCTAATTTAACCTAAAAATATGCTTAAATCGTAACTATAATAAAACTAAGAAGATCATTGGATCTGGAAACATAATTAAAAATTTAACAAAGTTTGGAACTGGGTCCAGTTCAGGTCCTGTCAATGTTTAAAAAATTGAGTTTTTAGTAATTCACAAATAATTTTATTAAAATATAATTTTTTAAATTTCCACTTAGGCTTCACCACACAATGCAATAGATAATGAACCTCGTATTTTTAACATGTCAACACGTTTCAAGGTTATCAGCCGTCTTTACTCTACACTTGCAATGATTCATCGCAACGTTAGTTTTTATAATTCTTTTTAAAACAATTTTTCTTCCAATTTTTAGCTTTATCTAAAAGACAAATTTCCATCCTTTGCCGAACCCAAATTTTTTGGAACAGCAAGTCCCGAGACGGTGACAGAAAGGAGGAATGCTATAGACAATTTTTTGCAATTTGTTTTGAATAATGAGGTTTTTTGGGGGGTTTTAAGATTTTTAAAAATTTTTGAACAATTTTAGACGCTTTGCAAGTCGAGAGCTCTTCAGGCTTTTATTGAGGTTTTTTTGAATTTTTAGAAAAAAAAAATTTATTTTAATTTTCTTTTAGGAAACAAAAGAATTTTTGCCAACAGATAGCAACGAAACTGAAGAAATTGAAATTAAATCGAATGATGTTGAAAATAATAAAATTGAAAATACCTCAGAAAATAAGCAAAATGAAGTTAAAGAAAAGGGGGAGGAGAAGGAAGAAGTTAAATAAAAAAAATTAAGGAGAGGAAGAAAGAAGGAAGTAAATGAGAGAAGAATAAATGGATGCCTATGTTTATAAAAAATAATTAAAGGAAAGTGTTCTTTTTTGATTCTCAAAAATATCAACAAAAAATTTAAAAGTAAATTTAAAATATACCTAAATATATGTCTTTTAATTAAATATTTTTTATGGAAATATAGAACATGCTCAATTATATATTTTTTGAATATTTAGTAAAGGTGGGGATAATGAAAATCTGTGGGTCCAGAAAAGGGTTATGTATCAGGGATCTAGACGACATAAAAATTCAATTCCCTATTTTCGGGAATCGGGATTCCCGACCCAAAAAACGTCGGGAATTCTTGATTTTCGGAAATCGGGTCGGCTGGATCTCTGGTATGTATCAGTTTTGGTTAATTATAAAAGTTAGTGAAACCGACAGCTCTAGTCTTGAAATAAAAAGGAGAAAATTTAAAAGGAAGGGATTTGGAACAAAAACATTTTTTTTTGCTTGTCCCCGTTGTCTTCAAAAAAGTCCCTTGTTTCGGTATCTAATTTTAAATTGTTCTATATAATTACTTAAAGAAGTTCAAAATAAATATAAAAATAAATTTCCCATTTATCAAAAATTGCCTATATAAATAAATTACATTGAATTTTACTTGAATAAATATAATTTTATGTAAAAAAAAATATTTTTTTCATTTATTTTAAAAGTGTTTTTCAATTAAATATTTCTTAAAATTTTTAATAATTTTTTAAAAATTTTTTAAATTTATTTCAGTTAAAGATTTAATTTTTAAAAGAAACGATGGAAGAAAATAAACAAGTTTATCGAGTAAAACTGACAAATTTACCAAAATATATGGGTTTTGCAGATATTAATAAATTTGTGAAAAAGTAAGGAATTTTTAAATTTAAAATTAAATTTTAAAATTTTTTCAGCAATTTGGGCAAAATTGGATTTAGTAAACTTAAATATAATGGACATGTTACTTTTTTCAATCTGGCATCGGAAGAAGATGCTATTGAATCTGCCAAAATTTTGAACAATTCGATATTTAAGAAGGAGAATGTTAATGCTGAAGTGATTGTGAAAAAGGGTGAAAAGGAAGAAAAAAAGGTTTTAATTTAAATTTCTATTGAAAATTGAATTGGCTTCTGAAGTTTTTGAGTTTGAAGCCGGTAAAGGGTCCGGCGATTGCCTTTGATCCACCAACCATAATTGAGAAGTCTTCCTATCTATTTTGGGGGTCCTGGAGAATTGAAAAAAATTAATAGGACTTGAGATGTCCGAGACTAGAAATTTTCCTAAACTCGGGACATGGAGTAACAGACATAGCTAGAACTCATCTATTTTCGGGCAAAATCTTATAGTAAAATGTTGGTCAATTGTTGTACATTAGTTCTTAACTATTGCTTTTCTGTGAATTTAATTTTTTGGTCCACAAATATTCCTTCCAAAAGGCAGAGACTTCCATTCAGAACCAATTTTCCAGAGCCCAGACGGAGGGGTCGGTTGGTATTTTTTCGATAAATATCGAAACCGAATATCGAAAAATATCGTATCGAGCCGGTCTCTGCTATCTACGATTTGTTCTAAAACCTAATAAATTTTTTTGAGAAGGGCCCTTTCAACTAGCTAAAAATATACCAAAATTTAAATTTTACCCAAAACTAATTTTTTTTCTTTTTAAGCCTGTCAAACACCTAAACACCTTTAAAACTGCCTCGGACATGGTTACTCCTCTAGCTAATATGCCTTATGAAGAACAACTCGAATTTAAATTTAATTTGTCACATGACATAATGCTTTATGTAATCAGAAAATTGAATTATGCTAATGTTTATGATACTTTTTGTTATAATGTTTTACAAAAGGTTTCTTTTTTTAATTTTTTTTTGAAAATTAAATTGAGTGATTTTAGGAAGAATATAAATAGATTAGGGGTGGACACGACCAGTTTTGGAACACAAACTTTTAGTTGAGGTTTTCGATTTTTTCAACTCTTTTAAGCTTTTAGAATTTTTAATAAAATTTAATATTTCCTTTTTCTCTTAAAAATGTAATCTTTCGAAATTTTCGGGGTTTATTGACGGTGTCGGATCCGGGGATTGCCTATGATTCGCCAATTTTATTGAGAATTTTTTTGGGATGTCCAGGGATGTGTGTCTTTTCTTTTAAAATAATTTGGCTTCATTATAAAATATATTTAATACCCTCAATTTACGAAAAAGGCAATACCTATCTAACAAATAAGCTTTCATTACAAAATACAATAATGGGTATTTACTAGAAAGATAAGAAAATTGTATAATAAAAATCGAAGTCGAAGTTCAAGGGAATACTTCGAATACGAAAATTATTTGGTTTTATAAATTTAATTTTTTCGAAGGATGAAAAAAATTAATTTTAAGCGATCTAAAATGGAAAAATAGTCCAAACCAGGCCCGTAGCCAGGGGGGGGGGGGGGTGAGGGGGGGAATCCCCCCCCCCCCCCAAATGGGAAAAAGGAAAAAATTTGGGGAAGGGCTGGGGCAAAAAAGTGAATTTTTTTTGGCCTACGGCCTTCTAAAATTCTCAAAATTTTCGCCTGCGGCGCTGAAAATAAAAATTTTTGGCGCCGAAGGCGCCAAAAATTTGGCGCAGAAAAAATTTTCCCTTCTTGCCCCCCCCCCCCCCCCCCCGAAAAAAAATCCTGGCTACGGGCCTGGTCCAAACTATTCACAAAAATTCATTCGAATATTCGTTTTTTCCGTTCTCTAGGTCTCAAATAAATATTTATTTTAAAGGTTTTGCCAGCACCATCAATTACTGCTTATAGAAATAAATGTGAATTTACTATAGGATATTCTAAATCTAAGGAACAATTTAGAAAAGAAAAGAAATTAATAGAAGAAAAACAAAAATTAAATGAAGGGGAAGAAGAAAATAAAGAAAAAGAAGAAATTTCTCTTTCAAAATCAATTATTGCCGGATTTATTAATGGAAAAATGAATAATGGTTATCGTGTTTTGCCTATTGAAGGATGTAAAAATTTGAGTTTAAATACAATTAATGTTGTTAAATATTTTGAAGAATTTGTAAATGAATTTGGTTTGTTTCTTTTTAATTTTTTTTAAAATTTTTTAGAGTAAGCTTAAAACATGCCTGTAACCAGGATTTTTTCGGGTGAGGGACTTTGGTTTTCCCACCTAATTCCCCCACCTGGTTACGTGTCTTGTCTAAAATTTTACTTTTAAATTGTTTATCTTTTTGTTCCCAATATCTTCTTTTTTTTAATAGCAACACTTATTGTGAGTATTAGGTTTGTTGTTTCGGAACCAAAGAATCGGGGTTTGTTCGGTTCGGTCTGGATAACCGAAGATCTTTCAAGAACCGACAACCCCTTACTGAGTTTTTTTAATTGTCCCTTTACTTTATGACGACTCACAATCTCGAATATTTGTGATATTTTTATCCTTCAATCAAGTATAATAGAATTTGATAACTGCCAAAGGAAAAAATACTATTTTTTCTCTCTCCCGTTTTTAACATTCATACTAGCTCTAAATTTAATTAAAAATTTTTATTTCTTTAGATGAACGTCCATTTAACGAATTCTCAAGAAAAGGGTTTTGGAAAATGTTGACAGTTAAAGATTTTCTTGGTGATTGTATGTTAATCGTTACTGTACATCCACATACTGATAAAGAGGTTTTCTTTTAATTTTAAATAGTCCAAAAAAATTTTTTTTCTTTAAAAGATTTGTTCAAAAATAAAGCAAAGACTTGTCGAGAAATTTCTTCATCCTCTAAATCCTGAAGATCTTTTACCTGATTGTAATGTTACTTCTATATTTTGGCAAGAACAAGTTAATTCTAGTGATGATAAAAATTATGAACATTTGGCAGGTTTGGAGGAAAAAAATTTTTGGATAATAAACAGCAAGACAATTCACTGACAAAGGCAATTCACCGACCGAACGACAATTCACCGAATGTTGTGAGTAAAAAAGAGGGAGTGGTAAAAGTTTAGTCCCGGGCAAGCATTAATTCTTCGACCTCTGACAGATTACTAACATGAGTTGTTACCAGAATGTTTCGAAATTTCGATTTTCGAAGAATTTTTTGTTTCGAAACAGCTCTGGTTGTTACTTACGGTTGTTGTTAGTAGGTAGCTGCTCTACTAACAGACGTGAGCTACCAGGGCGCTTCACTCTCACCTTCATTTTTTACCTCCACCTAGTAAGCGCCTGTAAGTAAATTGTGAAAAATTATTGCTTAATTTTTTTAAAGGTTAATTTTTTTAAAGATTTTCTTATCATCCTTACTGTCTTGTCAAATTTATAGTTCGCTATTCTATTTTGCTCTCTATTAATTTTTAAGATTTATCAAATTTATTTACGATTTAATCCTCATTCGGTGAATTGTCCGCCTTTCTGTGAATTGTCCGTCAAACCCATTTTAATTCTTTTTTTAAGGTCCTCCATTTGTGTATGAATCTCTGTTGGGTTGTAATTTTCGGATATCTCCATCTACCTTCTTTCAGGTTTTTTTTAAATTAATTTTACTTAAAAACTTGAAATTTAAAGACAAATTCAACTGGGGCAGCTCTGCTTTATTCAGCAATTGGAGATTTACTTAAATTGCCAAAATTAATTAATGCCCCAGGAAGTGGAAAATTTTGTCGAATGGAAAAATTAAAAAATAATAAAAATGTTTTGAAAGTAGAAGAGAAAATGGTTGTTGAAAAATTGGAAGATAATAAATTTGGAGAAGACAAAGATGAATGTACTGCAAAGAAGCCTCGTTTGGATGAAGAAAAAATTGAAGAAAATAAAGAATTAAATATAGAGGTTAGTTTAAATTTTTTTATTAGAAAATATTTTTTTTGTGGTATTATTTTAATATATAAGACAAATTTTTGGCGATATGCTGGGGCTGTCCGAGCAATTTTGAGATTTCAAGACTAGAGCTGTCCGAGACGGAAAATTTTTCAAGACGCAAGACTCAGGACCTAGACTTCATCCAAAGACCGAAAAACTTCAAGAAAAGTCTTGAGTCAAGACTCATGACCAAGAGTCCCGGACAGCTCTAGAATTCACCCTTCTTAATTTTCCATTTTTCTATCGACAATTTTAAAATAGCAACATTTTCCTTATTTTATAGTGAAGAGATTAAACCATTTTTTAAATCAAAAATCTATTTAAAAATTCGTAGCTTTATAAAATTTTTTCTATGCTCTGGTAAGCAAAAATCAGTCAAGAAAGGGAGACGTCTCCAAAATCCAATTCTTAATGACTATTTGATAATCGGTTCCAGTTTTCTAGGACTTTCTGTTGTTAGAGCTTTGGATATATCAAAAATTCTATACATTTCAAAAAATATTTTTATTCAATTTTTTAGCCTCTTAAACACGGCTCAAATGTATTTCTCGATATTTGTTGTGGTTCTGGTTCAATATCAATTTGTTTAATGGCCAGAATTAGACAATCAATACAGGAGGGAACAATTTCTGATTATTCTAAAATTCCATATGGATGTGTTGGGATTGATTTAAATACTGAAGCTATTCAAGATGCTAGAAGGAATGCTTCAGAAAATGGATTTGATGATAAAAGGTTTTTTTTAATTTTAAATGGTGTACTTTAGGAAAAAAATATTTTTTTAATTGAAATTACCTTAATATAAGTAAATGTAATATGTAGAAATTTCTTTTTTGATGTTAAGCTTCCTTTTTGAATAAAATCAAGTTGTTACTCGTTATCAGGGCGGGCGCATTGCGTTTTGCGTTTTTTTTGGTTTTGCATTCTTGGAGATTGTCCCCGCCCCTGCTCGCTATAATAATCCTAGACGATATTTGGAATCTAAAAAATTTGCTTGTACCGGTACATTTGTACAGAAGTCGAATTTTGGTATAAGCTTCCAAATAACGATCCCAATTCCATATAAATAAATAGAAGCTTGAGATCTAGGCGATGTTTTTATCATCCGCCTTGATTTATTCTCTTTCATTTAGGTAATATTTTTCAGTTTTATGGTTAAATTTTTTTAGCTAGTCCTTGTTTCTAGTTTTGATTAATGTTTTTGGTCTTCTACAAGTCCAAAACAAATTGTAAAAATTTCTTTTTTAAAGTTGCAAATTCTTGTGTGGACAAGCAGAGAGTATATTCAAAGATTTAAAATATTATTTGCCAACTGGTTGTTCTATAAAAGATGCAAATATGATGGGAATACTTGACCCTCCTAGAGCTGGAATTCCAGACAAGGCAATTATTGGATGTAGAAAGGTTTTTTTTGAAAAAATTTTTTTATAAATTTAAATTTTTAAAGCTTGAACAACTAAAAACATTAATTTATGTTTCGTGTGACCCTCACGCCGCTACAAAAAATTTTGTTGATTTGTGTAGGCCAATGTCTTGCAAATTTGATGGACAACCATTCAAAATTGTTGCTATACAACCTGTTGACTTATTTCCGATGACTAGACATTTGGAATGGATTGTTAAATTTGAAAGATGTTGAAGTTTTTTTTATTTTTTTTTCAAATTTTTCTTTATTGAAACCCTTAGTTTAAAATAAATTTAAAAAGCCTTCCGTAAAACATTCGTTTTCCCAATACCCAGTTAAGGCGTTTATTATGGGTGAAATACTTTCTCGGTTCCAAATACTTTATCGGTATCAACCAGTGCTGTTTTGGGTAAATAATAAGAAATTATTTTAATTAGACTCCAGCTCCGGAGATTTCAAAATCTTAGCTCCGCCATAGCCGGCTCCTCCCGGAGACATAACAGTCCATCCTAAATTAGTAAATTCGAGTTGGTTTTTGGAGGTTCTTATGGGTAAATTTGGTTGTGGTCTTTGAGATTTTTCATTTGGTTGTTTTAAATTTTTTCTTAAAGAATAATTTTAAATTTTGTTTCTTTTTCTGTTGAATATTTAATTATCTCCCAGCTAAATAAAAAACAACATTTATTAATCTTTACTTTAAAAAAACAAAAAACATTACGAAAACATTACACAAATATTTTTTTACTAAAAGAATTGGTAAAGCCAATTAATTAAAATAAGCTTGCGCATTTTTCCTTTCTTTTTTAAAAACTAATAATATATTTTTTAATTATTTGAGGTAATATTTGTTGTTGTATTAGATGATTCTTGTTGTTGCTGATAAAATTGTTGTTGTTGTTGATGTGCTGCCATTATTTGTTGTGCCATCATTTGTGAAGCTATTTGTTGTTGTGTTGCAGCCATCATTGTAGCTGATCGGCCAGTAGCAGCGATGTTGGTACCCAATGGAACTTCTCGTAATAATGGCTCAAGAAATGCAAAATGTGGAGTGCAAAGGATTGCTTGCTTTCTAAAAAAAAGTTTTAATTAAAGTTGGAGAGAATCCTTAGATTTTTTGGTAAAAGAATAGGAATCAGTTGCCCCTAATAATGTGTTTACACAAAAATTTAGCGACCAAGATGATATTGAGAAGGGGGAGGAGATATGATTTTGCCCCTCCTTATGAATATATAATTTCTAGTTTGAAGGTAATTTTTGTGTAAAATAGGCTATTACAAGGAAAGGTTGCGAGGTGTCCGACCTAAAAACGGTCGAGACCGGGCTCATTCGATAGAAAATGTGCCCTTTCTAGCAAGGATTTTGTGCCGTTTTTGATCTGGCCAAGATATGACCCTCCAAAGTAGGATAAAAAAAACGTTCAAAGAATTGGATTATGGACAATTTTGGTCAACTATTAAATTGCAAAACCAAATGCATTGTTTTTTTGTAAGCATTAAATAAGTGTGGGATCAAAAATTAAAATAAAAAATTTCCTACATGTGAACAGGCGACAGCGTCTTCGTACTGCTGTGTTGTAACGCTCCAGCCGCACTTTGCAACAACTTCTCGGCAAACAATTCCATTGCGCTTCCAATTGCAACGGGGACACTTGCAACCTTTTTTTTAATTATATTTATAAAAATTACTTTAAAAAAACCATTCTGCCAATTTCTTCATCACTTTGCATTACTTTTTTGATTCGAGTCTAAAATTTTTGTTTTTTTAAATTTCTTTTAAAAATAAATTAACCGGTTGAATCCGCGCCATGCTATAACGACGCTTTCGTATTCGCCCAGACCGAAAATCTCCATCTTCGGAGGAACAAGCTGCCGCAGTAGTATCTTCTTCAACAATTGGATTGGGTGGTTGGACTTGTTTGGAGTCCTGAAATTTGAATTAATTTTTAAAAAATTACTGGGATTAGCGCTAATATTATAAATATCCCATTTTTTCCTCTCCAAGTTCCTTCCTATATATTTGCAGAATGGTCAGACTTTTGCCCTTCTTCCGTCCCAATTTTCCTTTCTTCCATTCAAGTGGGAATAAAAATTACCTAAATCTTTTAAATGTTTAGAAGGGCAAATGGAAGAGAGGAAGAAGTCTGACCATTCTGTAGATATTTAGAAAAGTTGGAGAGGAAAAATTGGGTCTGTCAGGTTTAAGGGACTGGGATTAACTAAAAAAATTTCTCAAAAAAACTTACAACAATCCCCGCATATTGTGGCTGCTGATACATCATTCCAGCGAGGGCATTTTTTGTTGCCTCAACAAAAGTATTATTGTAATTTTGCTGACCACCAAAACTATCCATTGTATATGGCAGTGTTGTTGTCCCCCCATTTCCGCCTGACATGCCATTTCTGTTGTTATTTTCGTTGTATATATTTGTAGTGGTATTATTGTTATTGTTGTTGCCACCCTGAATGAATAAATGAGAAGAGGGAGAATGATGATGAAATGGCAGTGTCTGCTGCTGCAGCATTTGAAGAGAAGGGTGTTGAGGGGGCGTTTGTTGTAATAAAGCAGACATTGAAGAATTTTGTTGTTCTAAAGTAGCTGCTGCTGTGGGTATTGTCGTTGTTGTATCTACTAATCCACCAGCATTTAAACTGCTACTGTTCATTTGCTAAAAAGTGCCTTCTTGGTCGTCTTGTCGAAAATACAGAAAATTTGGAGTAAAATCCGCAACAATTTAACAATTCTGTGAATATTCCCATTGTAAAGGTTAAGGGGGTTTAGGGTTTTTAGAAGTCGAATTTAAAGAATTTCAAAAGATTTTTTAGAAAGTTAGGTATTTGCTAATCTAACACTAATAGTAAGCGTTTTTCCCCTCTCTTCTTATCTTTTCTCATCGACAAACAAATTTACAAATAAGTTAGAGAGGAAAAAGAAGCGATTTTGTGATGTTGGAACCTGTTATCTTAGTGGTAGAAAAAAGAAAATGACGCCTAAAAAGAGGAGAGAGTGGATTAAACTTACTGGAAGAGAAGTCAGAGAAAGGCAGACACTGAAACGAGGAGCTGTTGAACAAACGCTCAGCTTGCTCTGTTAAATAGGCTGGGATTGGACTGGCATTTTGTTTTTAATGCCAATTTCGAAAATAATTAGTTGTAGACATTAAGCCTGTACAAGGCTCCGGTACAAAATATGGAATCGTTAAAATATGGAATGATTAAAATCGCGAATAGGCTAAAAAGGGGTTAAAATACCGAATCGTTAAAATATGGAATGGTTAAAATATCGAATCGGGTAAAAAAGGGTTAAAATATGGAATCGTTAAAATATGGAATGGTAAAAATGTCGACACGGCCAAAATAGGTCAAAATGTAGAATTCTTTTAAAAAAGGGTCAGATGTGTGCCATACGTTGATTGTTGATAATTTGATTGATAAGTTTCGTATGTCGTAGTCCGGCGCAATCTTTTCTGCCAGAGTTCACTGTATTTTACCGAGTAAAACCGGACCGGATAAATCAAGCATAATCGACCGGATCCGGTATGATCGTACGGATCCGGAAAACATAACGCGATCCTTATACGGAAAAATTAGAGTGGCGTGCACTAGTTTTTAGTTAAGACCTAAATTTTGTACCTTACCGTATACGGTACGGAATACCATAAAAATACCGATCAGCTTTTAAATTTTATCGGTAGCATTCTGTACCGTACTACCGATCGGAATACCGAAAAATACCGTCGGTATTACGGCAACGCCCGGATTCTAGGTTTTGGCGCCATTTTAAAAAAAATTCGACATTTTGACTTATTTTGGCCGTGTCGACATTTTATCAATTCGATATTTTAACGATTCGGTATTTTAACCCCTTTTTACCCTATTCGAGATTTTAACCATTCCTTATTTTAACGATTCCACATTTTAACCCCTTTTTAGCCTATTCGCGATTTTAACCCATTTTTACCCGATTCGAGATTTTAACCCTTTTTTAGCCTATTCCATATTTTAACGATTCGGTATTTTGTCCGGACACGCTGTACAAGTTAGAGAAGCAGAATAAAAAGATGAAGTAAAGCTGAGAGAAAAAGAAAAAGAGTAAAAGAAATAACATAAAGAGAGGGGAAGAAACAAAATTTGCTAATCCTTGTTTTAATTTCTGTGGGGGGTTTTTGTGGTTAAGTGGTTTTTTTAAAACTTTTTGGGGGGTTTTTGGGGGACTGGGCCATTAGGGCGCGGGGTCATTAGGGCGCGGGGTCATTAGGGCGCGAGCTTATAAAACAGTGAGTTGCTTATCAAAAAAAAAATAAAATTTTGGAATAATGACTCTTATGCCTTTATCTACGTTCTGCAAAAATTTCAGAATTTTTGATCAAGAATTTCGGAAATCGTGGCCAAAAATGTTGATTTTCCGAAAAAACCCTAATTTTTCGCGGTTTATCGACTATAACTTCAGAAATATTCGATGAAAAATTCTGAAATTTCTGGAGGAGGTAGTCAATGATGTTAAAGAAAGTTGAGAAAATTTTCATAAATTTCGGTTTCGCCTAAGTGTCAGTTTCTAGTGCTGGCGCTCTAATGGCCCCGCGCCCTTATGATTCCAACCCGTTTTTGTGGGTTTGAGTCTTTTTTATTTCCGTTTTACTATTAATAAAAAATTTTTTTTTGAAATTTTAGAAACATCAATTATTCTTTAATTTAATTTAATCGCTATAAATAAAAATGAATGAACATGGTAAACAAATTAGACTTCCAAAGAAGGCGGAGAAAGTTAAAAATAAGACACCAGCTCCTGTTCAAATCACTGCTGAACAGCTTCTTCGGGAGGCTAAGGAACGCGAATTAGAGGTTTAGATTTTATATTTTTTGATTTTAAAAAATAATTTGTTAGACAGTCCCTCCACCGCCCAAAGTTCGAATTACCGACCCGGAAGAATTAGCAGAATATCACAGAAAGAAGAGAAAAGAATTTGAAGATAATATTCGAAAAAATAAAATGCAACTTGCTAATTGGATTAAATATGCAAAATGGGAAGAATCGGTTGGTGAATTACAACGGTCAAGATCTATTTTTGAAAGAGGGCTGGATATAGACCACAGAAATATTACTGTTTGGTTACAATATGCCGAGATGGAAATGAGGTTTTTTAAAATTATATTTGGGTGCTGTCTCATATTTTTGAAAATAAAATTTATAACGGGGGGGGGGGGGAGGGTCACAAACGGGGAATGAGCTACCATTTTTATGTGTAACAAATGGTAGCTCATTCGACTTGGCTCTTCAAGCTGTCAATGAGTCGAATTAATTTCGGGTTAGAGGGATTTGATTGATGTAGATTAGGTTGTGACCCGATTGAAGTCTCAACGAAGGAGCTATAATTTGTTCCTTATAGTACTTGTGGGTTATATTTCGGACTTTTTTGCGGACACAATTGTACATAATTGTAAGAGTTTCTCTTCCCTCGTTACCCACAAGTACCGTCTTTATAACCTCTGCTTCTAAAACTCTTACCGATGGAATATAGAGGATTTTTTGTTGTTTACATTTATGTGGGTGTCTCTTGGCATTCAATCGAAAAGTTTTTTTCAAGGAATAAACAAATTAATCATGCTCGTAATATTTGGGATCGTGCCGTTTCTATCCTTCCACGAGCAACTCAATTTTGGTTAAAATTTACTTATATGGAAGAACTTGTTGGTAACGTTCCTGGTGCTAGACAGGTTTTTAAAGAAAATATTTTGGTATTTTTATCAGATTTTTTGAAGGTTTTTGAACGTTGGATGGAATGGGAACCTGATGAGCAGGCTTGGAATACTTTTATTAATTTTGAAATGCGTTATAAAGAGATTGATAGAGCTAGGAGTATTTATCAGGTATTTTTTTACTTTATTTTTCTTTAAAGTTTTAGACTGAGATTAGGTTAATTTTGGGTCCGCTCCAGAAGTTCAACACCCTAATGATTAATTGGACCTATATGTTAACTCCAAATATTGAACCCTAAACTGAACTTTAGGGTCAGTTGACCTCTAGTTTTAACCTGCTGACCTTCCGAGTTATTCGTAACTTTGTATATCTTGGTTACTTTTACGGTTATCCCCTCCATTTTATTTCTCCTTCCCTTCATTTCTTTAAAGTAGTGGAAATGGTCTGTAAAATTGATTAAAAAATTTTTTTTATTTGATTCGTAATAAATTTGCCCTTTTGACCATTTCTAATATTTTAAGGGATAAGAAAATGATGGAAAGATTAAAAAGAAGTTAGGAGATACTTGAAAATATTTTTAGGTACTACTGAAGATTGTGGGGCTCTTTCTGCGGACTTTTTTTGCGGACTTTTCCTCCCTTTCTTTCAAATGTACATATTTTTTAAAGTTTTGGTTGTTTTGCTTGCAGCAAGTTTTGCTTGTAGCAACTAACTGTCAAAGGATTAATTTTTATGTCAGTTTGAAAAATGTGTTCACCATTGATTTAAACATTATAACGATTTCAATTACTCGATGAACTTCAACAATGGATCACTGATCTCGGAAATAAAAAGAACATGTGATTGTGGAACAGAAATGCGGGTACTGTCAAAGCTTGTCCCCCCATTATTTTTATTACCTAAGATTGTATAAAATGGTCAGAATTCCTTCTTCCTCTCTTTCCTCTATTTGAGCTTGGCATATTCAAACAAGACATTGTTGATAAAGAGAAGATTAAAATTAATTGTTGTTCAATATTTTTAATTGAGTTGTTCAATATTGAGTTCAATTTATTTTTTCAGTTGTTCAATATTTTTAAATATACATAAGAATGTAATGTTTTTACACAGAAAATCATAATGTTATACAACAAATCAATTTTATTTACTGCTTTTTTTGTTTAAATTGTTTTCGAAGGCAAAAAATAAGTGTATGACTATAAAAACTAATCTTCTCTTTATCAATGTCTCGTTTGAATTTGCCACAGGGCAAATAAAAGAATGAGAGGAAGAAGAAAATCTGACCTTTATGTACAATCTTATGTAAGAAAAATAATAGGGGAGGGGCGTTGACAGTTAGTTGCTACAAGTAAAACATTCAAAAGAAAGGGAGGAAAAGTCCGCAAAAAAAGTCCGCAGAAAGAGCCCCACAATCTTCAGTAGTACCTATTTTTATTCAACTAATTTTTTATTTTAAATCCTCAAAGTATTTCTTTTAACTCAAAAATTATTTTAGAGATTTTTACACGTTCATGGCCATGATTTTCGTAATTGGGTTCGTTATGCACGTTTTGAGGAACGTAATGGTTCTATTGACAATGCCCGCGCTGTTTTTGAGCAAATGCTTGAATTTTTTGGAGAAGATGGAATGAATGAACAAATGCTTGTTGCTTTTGCACATTTTGAAGAACGGCAAAAAGAATTTGAACGTGCCCGGATAATTTATCAATACGGCCTAGGTATGTTGATTGTAAAATTAAAGTTATGTTTAAGTTGATTTTTCTGATTACCTCCCTTGTTTTGGTCTATCGTGCGTATACAATATTTCGTGAGAACAAAATTTATTTTATTTCTTTAAATTTGATTTCTTGGAATGGTGCTATTCCAAGTGAACCAAAAGTTGACGATCCGGATCAGAAAAAAGTCAGGATATCAGAAGATTTTCGTTTTTGATATAGGATCCGATTCTGGTTGTCAACAAATTATTTT